CTCCAAAAGTTACTGATCCTTATTTTACAGGAGGGAAAATGGGTCCAAAAGAGCAGGATGACTCTCACCGCGATATTGAGATTCCTCTAGAAGAGATGAAATTTGAAGCAAATTTTTTTGAGTGCAAGTCTTTCGGCTTTGCCACACAGCACTTCGTTTTCCCTAAAGCATATGGCAAAAAGACAGAAAAAGGCTGGCAGTGAAACCCATCTGAGTGCCAGTCACTCCACTTCCTAGGCACATTACTAAAGCACCTCTTACTCCTTTTTCTCAGTGTAATATCTGATATTTGAGGACTATATCTAACGCTTTTTTTCCCTGAGCTGGGAGAGAGATGATCCACTTCCACGCATTGCCTGGGGATTGAAGAGTCATCATGACTAACACGGGGGAAGTGCTGGGTTTATAATTAGTCCCAGGGTGTGCAGCCACTGCCTACATTTTCCTTTTCCTTCACTGGGGTTACAGTGCTGTTTCCCTGCTGCTCACAGGGCTGAAGCTTTTGCTTTCCTTTGCGGCCACTCTTGAGTGAGCCCCATCTCTGGAAGGGTTCAAGGTCAAGTTGGATGGGGTTGTAAACAACCTGGCCTAGTGGAAGGTGTCCCTGCCCATGGCAGGGGGTTGGAATAAATGACCTTTAAAGGTCCCTTCCAACCCAAACCATTCTGTGATTCTATTGAGGATGCTTTTAATAAATGTAATTCCCCACAGCACCTTCAGCGAGATGGAGGCCACCCCGCCAAGAAAGCAGATGTCCCTCAGTCTGTGTGGTCTGATGGTGCTTTGCAAGGATGGGGGCTGTAGGGGCCATGGGGATGGAGAGGGTGAGCATGTGAGAACCCGGGCAGTGTCTCCCAGGAGGTCCAGAATGGCTAATACCCATAAGTTCATTGCAAGGGAGATGTATTGAAACCCCAGGCTCTTCTCCTGAAGCTGAGGATATCCCCAAAGCACCCACCCTCCCGGTGCAATCTCAGAGGGATCTCCAGCACCACTGTGTGTGGTGAAGGACAGTGAAGCAGCTTTTCATCTTGAGGCAGGATAAACTGCACAGGTCAGCACCACTTTAACAGTCCTGCTCGTGCTGTGAAGACAGGAGTTTGTGTTTAGCTCTGGATTCATACCAAAGGCTTCCCAGTCTGTACAGTAAAATGCAGAGAGGATTAGTCCCTGTGCTGCTGCCAGGCCATCTCAGCACTGGACTGAAAGCAGCAGTGTAGACATGTTTTTATTTTAAGTTACACATGGGACTCCTGTGCCCTGGTAGCTCCAGACCTAGGAGAGACCCCTCTTCTCTTTTGAAGGGGTTGATGATGTGGATTAGTGTAAATCACTGTAAGAGAAGAATTAAACTTCCTTAATACCTTTGCATATATCTATGAGAAGAAAATGTCATTAATTCGACTTTCAAATCGTTCTCAGATACTGAAATCACCTCAACTGCCAGCATTGACAAGACATGAAAGTAACAGCCTGGACAAACTCAGAATGAACTCACCACCAGAGGTGACTATAAAAATTCAGGTCACCGTATCTAAACACCTATGCAATCCTTCTCATGTGCAATTGTCTAGAACAGGCTGTCATCAAAAGCTGCCTGTTTGCATCTGCACAGATAGTTCCAGGCTGTTTCCATCATGCAGGGACTGAACAACCTTGAACTTGCACCACCGAAGTAAACATGGGCAGGATGGTACCAAAAAGCTATTCATCTCCTCCAAACAGAGCCCTAGAAATTTCTGATGACCTGATTTTCACACTTTGTTCTTCTTCAGAGATAAAGCAGACGGAGGCTAAGGAATCAGAGTTTCTCTAGATAAGAAAGACCTGTGGTTCTGCATCAGAGCCCGCATCCACCCACCCTGTCCAGCGTACCCTTTGGGGAGCAGCCATGGCCAATGCAGCCAGCAGAGCCCCTCTTCAGGTGATGTCTGGTATTTACTGCCAGTGTGAAGAGTTCTTCATCTTCTTACCACTGCTTAGAAGTTCACTTTTGCTCAGAAGCACAGGGGTTTGTAGACAGCCCTTCTCAGTCTCACAGATACTCTCAGGGGTAAATGCTGGATTTCAGCGTTACTCACCTCGAATTTGGGTTTGAATCTTGTTAACTTAACTGGTTTTGGTGAAACCCCTCTGCTAATGAGTGACCCCATGCCAGGACCTGTCCTCTGGACCTCAGTCTTGCCACGTCAAAGTCAAGACTTCCTTGGTTTCCAAAACAGAGTGGGAATAGTCCTGGTTTGTTTGACACCCGAGCTGCTCCCTGGCATTGCTTGGGTCAGCTCTAGCTGCTACAGAACACATCCCTGCCTGTACCTCTCCCAATAAATTCAGTGCAGACATTAGAGTTTCAGCTGTGCCCAAGCTCTCTGGCTTTCATAACAGGGATGCACTTTACAGTAATAACACAAGGAAAAACACTTGAGCTTATGCACACTTGACTCTCTGCATCCTCACCACCAGCTGTAGGATATTGGCAGTGTCATTGGATGTACGATGCTATAAAGGATCAGGTACAGTCCACGGCCCAGAACTTGACAAGGGAAAAGCTTTGGGATGATGCACAGGATGGGGGGTTTAACCTGTCTGAAGAGTGTAGGCGCAAGGACATGAGCCATCAATGTGCACTCACAGCCCAGAACCCACCCGTGCCCTGGGCTGCAGCCAGAGCAGGGGGGGCAGCAGGGCCAGGGAGGGGATTCTCCCCCTCTGCTCCGCTCTGGGGAGACCCCCCTGCAGTGCTGGGGCCAGCTCGGGGGCCCCCAACAGCAGAAGGACACGGAGCTGCTCGAGCGGGGCCAGAGGAGGCCACGGAGATGCTGGGGGGGCTGGAGCAGCTCCCCTGGGAGGCCGGGCTGAGAGAGTTGGGGGGGTTCAGCCTGGAGAAGAGAAGGCTCCGGGGAGCCCTTCGAGTGGCCTCCCAGGGCTTAAAAGGGGGGACAGGAGAGGTGGGGGGGGACTCTGGGTCAGGGGGGTGTGGGGGTAGGATGAGGGGTAATGGTTTTAAACTGAAAAAGGGTAGATTTGAATTAGATGTAAGGAAGAAATTCTTCCCTGTGCGGGGGGTGAGGCGCTGGCCCAGGGTGCCCAGAGCAGCTGTGGCTGCCCCCTCCCTGGAAGGGTTCAAGGCCAGGTTGGACGGGGCTGGGAGCCCCCTGGGCTGGGGGAATGGGCCCTGCCCGGGGCAGGGGGGTTGGGACTGGATGATCTTTAAGGTCCCTTCCAACCCAAACCAGTCTGTGATTTAAGGAAAGCTCAGATAGCAGCACAGGTTGGGACTCATGCTCGGAATTAAAAATGCATATAGCCCAATAAAGGGGGTTGCACTGGCATGTTGGTTTCTGTCCTGTCAGTGCAGGCAGCAGAGCCTGGAAATCAGGAACTCTCATTATCACAGAGGTGCAGCCAAAACACTGAGGAAGCTGGGAACGGGAATAATAAAGCAGCAGATGAAAGACAACGAGTCACCTGTATCGGGGCTGTCAGAGGGCTGGAGGGGGCTGTGAAAGCTCCTTTTTTTTGGGCTGGGTACAGGGATTGAACATGCTTGGAAACATCCCAAAGTGACCCACAACGTCGTATAATCCAACCGTGAATTGCTGCAACTAGGGGTGGGGATTTGAGTAAGGAGGGAGAAGGAGTTCCTGAGAGGTGTGCGGGGAGGATGCTGATCTAAAGACTGTCCCTTCTGCCGCGTACAGGGAGCTGCTCCAGTGCAGAGGAAGAGAAATGGTAACTGGGATCCTTGGTGTGCTGGCCGAGCCTCCGCCGGGGAGCGGAGTTGCCTCCCTTAAGACAAAAATATTTGGGAGATGATCCAGCGAGGAGGGAGGGGGGGTGCTGGGGGAGCGGGGGGAGCTGTGCTGCCTGGCCGTACCCCCGCTCCCTGCCCGCCCCGAGGGTCCTCCCCCCCCCTCTCCCCCCTCACTGCCCCCCGCTGCCCGCCCCGGGGCTCTGACACCCCCCCCCCCCCCATATCCCCCCCTGGGGCTCTGCCCGCTCCCTGCCCGCCCCGGGGCTCTGACACCCCCCCCCCCCCCCCCCGATATCCCCCCCTGGGGCTCTGCCCGCTCCCTGCCCGTCCCGGGGCTCTGACACCCCCCCCCCCCGATATCCCCCCCTGGGGCTCTGCCCGCTCCCTGCCCGCCCCGGGGCTCTGACACCCCCCCCCCCCCCCCCGATATCCCCCCGTGGGGCTCTGCCCGCTCCCTGCCCGCCCCGGGGCTCTGACACACACACACACCCCCCCCCCCCAATATCCCCCCCTGGGGCTCTGCCCGCTCCCTGCCCGCCCCGGGGCTCTGACACCCCCCCCCCCCCCCCCCAATATCCCCCCCCTGGGGCTCTGCCCGCCCCGGGGCTCTGACACCCCCCCCCCCCCCCCCCAATATCCCCCCCCTGGGGCTCTGCCCGCCCCGGGGCTCTGACACCCCCCCCCCCCCCCCCCAATATCCCCCCCCTGGGGCTCTGCCCGCTCCCTGCCCGCCCCGGGGCTCTGACACCCCCTCCTTTCCCCCCCCCGCCCGCCTCGGGGCTTTACCCCCCCCCCCCCCCCTTCTTGTTCCCCCCCCTTTCCCCCTCCGCTATCGCCTCCCTGCCCACCCCGCGGCTCCTCCCTTCGCCCCGTTGCTCCGCCCCCCGCCCATTTGCTCCGCCCCCCGCCCATTTGCTCCGCCCCCCGCCCATTTGCTCCGCCCCCCGCCCCGTTTCTCCGCGCCCCCCTCCCCGCCCTTTGTCTCCGCCCCTTCCCCGCCCCGTGCCTCCCCTCCCCATCCGCTCTGGGTCACGCCCCTTTCGCCACGCCCCTTCCCCGCGCCCCGCCCCCCGGTGGCTCACCTCCTGCGTGGCCACGCCCATTTTCCCCGACACCGCCCCCAGCCCTTCAATTCCCCCTCCCTCCCCGAGGCGGCGGAACCGTTGTCGCGGGACAGCGGGCCGCGCCGGGCCCTTTTTGCGGCAGCACCGCTTTCCGGTAAAGCGCCGGGCGGGGCGGGGATTGGTCCCGGCGGATCACGTGAGACGCCCAGCATCCGGGGACGGTTGCCCGCCGGTACCGCTCCGCCGGGCGCCTCCGGGGAGCGGCGGGGCCCGGGGGGGGTCGGGCCGGGCCGGGGCGGTTTGACGCGGCCGCTGCCTTCTCTTCCCCCGCCATCCCAGCTCCCTGTGAGAGCGTCGGCCTTCCCCAAGCGCTTTTGTGGGAATCCCACCCCCGCTCCTCCCCCCATCACCCTCTGGGCCCGGGAGACAGCATCACCCCTTGGCTTTGGCTCCTTGTTCCCTTCGGGCACATCGCCCCGGCCTGCCCGCCACCCCCCTGCCCTCTCGGTACTGCAGAGCTTACCCCCAGCAAGTTTTTGCGGGAAAGGCCTCCTCCCCCTTCCCTTTGCTAGCGAGCATGGAGTTCGCCGAGCTGATCAAGACCCCTCGGGCGGACAACGTCGTCCTGCACCGCCCTTTCTACCTGGCCGTGGAGGGGACTCTCTGTTTGACTGGCCACCATCTCATTTTTTCTTCGCGGCGACAAGATAACGCCGAGGAGCTGTGGCTGCTGCACTCCAACATCGATTCTATTGAAAAAAGGTAAGATTCCGGATATCCCCGTGTGCCTAATTCTGTCATGTTATGGCTTGGAAGGTGGTTGTCAAGACTGGCTCGTGCCTTGGCTGTCTCAAATCTGGGTCTGGAGAGGAGAAACATCAGCCAGAGCACAGGGCAGAATATTGGCGTGCTTGGTTCTCATTCTGTTTGGATATTGATTGTTGACTGCTGCATGTTTATTTGTTGTGTATAGAGTCGGAACGTTCATGTTTAAACACCTCTGTCAGCAGCGCTCTGCGTTAATTGTTCAGTGGGTTTCATCAGTAGCTCTTGAAACACTTCACAAAGGACACATCTCAACCACCATTCAAGGGAGATGGAAGCCGAGGCACCAAAGATTTATTTTGAGTCACGCAGCAAAACTTAGGGCAGAAGTGGGCTCTGGACTTTCTCAGCCCTAGATCAGTCTTCAACTGCTCGACAGCATCATCCCTTTACTCCCCCACCTGATCATGGAAATCAATAACAACATACACCTTGTGGGAATGATGTGGTAAAGCTGAGTTGTAGCTGTAGCACTGCAATTTTTTTTTTTCTTGCATGTCCCGTCTTGTTACAGGGACTTCGGAGATTAATCTTCTTGCCAGACCTTCTGTCCGCTTTAGGTGTGCCGTTGCCCTGTCACGCTTCCCTCATTGAATGGCAGTTCCATCTCACCTGGTCATTGTCTTCCACTTCATTACTGTGATCCTTTTTTCAGTTTGCTCATAATATTTCTTTTTTATTAAGTACAAAGTTAATCCCCCATTTTCCTCACCTCTTAAGGAAATCTGGAGAAGTAGATTTCCTTTCTGGCAGCAGGATTTGGAAAATCAAGCAGCAACAATTAAATATCAGATTGCCTCAGAATCTGAGAATGGGTGAAATACTGGGTGCCAGTTAAGTTTGTTCATGATTCCTCTGAGAGTTTCTGAGAAATGCTGCATCTTGGTCTGAGGATGGAGAGGAACAGAGTGGTGGAAACCTGAGGCAATTGTTCCCATCCAGTACTGCTCAATCATCAGGGCAGTTTGGCCTCTTTTTCCTGCTTGTACTAAACCAGCCATAGCTCTGTCTTTGAAATTATTATGGAGAAGCTTTTCTTTATTTTTTATTTTTTTTTTGTGAGCTTAGTTGCAGTTATGTCATAAGTTAATACCAAATAAGCAAGGAACATTTTCAGTTATGGCGGGGGAGTAGCGCGTTGCTTGCTCAGTACATGATTTATAACAGAGCTAGCTACGTTGGCGGATACTCACAGCCCTTATTGCCAGCCCTAGTTTCTAGAAGGTCTCTAGAGTAAACTTCTCCCCTCTGAGAGTAGCTTTGTGTGCATGTAACTGCAGTGAAAATCTGCCACATAAAAGGATAAGAGTATATTCTTCTCAATACTGGAGAGAATGGAACAACAAAGCTCTTAAACCAAGAAAGGTTGTAGAAAAGTCCAGTTTGGCTCTACTTCAGGTTATTAGTGCATAACAACGGTGGCATTGTGCCAGGTTCATAAAATCTCTTCTCCCACTTTAATGATGTGAGTGTCTTTTGTACAAAACAGTGTTTTCTCTAATTACCAGATGGTCATCAAACTGCTGCTTAAATTTTTTTTGCAGTTTTTTAAGCAACTGAAATATTACCTATAGGGTTTGTTGAGAAGTGGAACAGTCTCCTGTGGCGTTTGTGCTTAAAGAAAGGACAGCCCTGGTGATGTGTTGTAGCTGCACTGTGTTATTACCCTGGAGATGTGGGAAACAGCACTGTGATGAGGGCAAAGACTGGCTCTGCTGGAATTGCTGAACTTTTCTGTCAAAAGGCCTGTCTGTAGTTCTTCCTTCAGCACTACCCAAACTGTAATTGTTTTTGTGTGTTAACCTTTGTCTGCACAGAAGAAATAGATAATGACCTTTCAGCTGTAATAATAATAATTCCAAAATAAATTACAGGCACCTTTTGTAGCACAGGTGGAGCAACCCAAAGGAGCAGGTCTCGTCCTGGGGCGCGTACAGCCCTGCCCTTGTGCTGATGTGGTTTAACTGAGGGTTAAGGCCATGATGGGCTGAAACTTGGTGCTTGGGGTCGTTCCTGCTGCTGCTTCTGGCATCGCCCTCGGCTGCTGCAAGCACTGCTGTGGTGCATGAGGAGGCTCAGCTGCTTTTCCATAGTTCACTGCTTTGTGAACGAGACTCTACAGCGTTCCTGTGAATGCTGGTGGCTGGTTAACGTAAGGAAAACTCAGTTTCTGTTCAGGCATCATCCTTTCAGGTACGTAAGGAAGGCTGGAGGGGGCGTCTGTGAGCTGTGTTTGTTTTGTAACGTCGAGCTTTTTCTGAGTTCACTTGCATTGTAACCAGCCATGATAAGACCTAAACTTCTCTGAGGTTTGCGGAGCAAATGGCTCCGTGGCACTGCAGGTATCAGAAACCAACCTTTCTTGTTAAAGACAAGGGAGCATAATGTAGCCAGACTGAAATGTTGTTTTAAAAATTAATTTAAACTCAAATGTTGTTAGCAATCCTCAAACTGTCAATGCATTACATTAATAAAACTGGAAACTTCCAGCTGAAGCTTCCAGTACTGTCAGAATATACCTGAACACACCTTTTCTCTTTTATGTTTTAGAGAAAAGGTGGGAGGAAAACCTTCTCTTTATCTTGTAATAATACTTTCACTTGCTGCCATATCACAACGATGGAATTAAAAAAAAAAAAAAGGTGGACCACAACTTGCAAATACCAAATAAAGAGGTGGTTTTGTTTGTTTTGTTTTGTTTTTTTGAAAGATGATATTGCAGACAAATTATTACTAACGGAATTTTGTCATGTAGGCATACGTTGTGGGAAGAGCTGTAATATCTCATTATACCTCAGAAGATCTTGTTCTTAAGAGACTCTTTCTTCATGTCCTGCTGTAGGTTTGTGGGCTCACTGGGTACCATCATTATAAAATGCAAAGATCTGCGAATTATCCAGCTGGATATACCTGGAATGGAGGAGTGTTTGAACATTGCTAGCTCGATTGAGGTAAGAATTCATTAGGATAAATAACATCTGTGTTCTCAGATCTTGATCGGACCTCAACCTTAACAGCTTTTTCTCCAGTTAGGAAGGTTTCATTGATGAAATAGTAATCAGGTAAATGCCACGTAGGATGTGTCCCGTTAGTTATAGCTGTTCAATGTGCACCTTTCTCATCCTGTGGTGTGCTGTTACGTAGTGTAGCCTGCAGAAATGATACTCTGTGTACAAACACTCCAGCTGCATTTAGATTGTCTGTTATAATCTGCTTTTGTTTGTGCTCCTGGTTTTTATGTATGTTAAGCTACCCTGCAGGTAACTTAGTATTTCAAACTTAATGGCTGCATATTTTTAGATGGCTTAAGTTTGCATCACCAATATGAGAGGAAAACGCTATTTGCTGTAAGTTTTTTGGAATAAAATAGCCATTTGAATGAATTAAGTAGCTGTTTATTTCTCTTGCCTGCACAGGCACTTTCCACCCTGGATTCTGTCACTCTCATGTATCCATTCTTCTACCGGCCCATGTTTGAAATTGTTGAAGATGGCTGGCGCTCTTTTCTGCCTGACCAAGAATTTGAGCTCCTCAGCTCAGTGGTAAGTTGAATCTTAAGGATTTGCACAAGCACTCAGATATACTTGTGCAAGTAGTTCGAAGTATTTCACCCAGTAGTATCTGGGCTGGAAATCCTGGATGGTCAAAATAGCTGTCCAGTGCCTGGGTGAAAAGTGAGGGGTGTTCAAATATTCACTCTGTAAACATCAGGCATTTTTGTGATAAATATTCCTATTGAGCACTTGTGTTTCACCTTGTACAAATGGAGCTTTGAGGCCTATTTAAAAGTTACTTGGGAGGACATGAAGGTAGGAAATGTTTTTGTCCTTTGGGGATGGCCAAGAAGAAATTTAAGATTTGTTGTATTGAACTTTGCATCTGGAGTGGGATGAATCTTTGTCAACCCCTTAATTGAAATGAGGCTGTTTTTAAAAAAACTGCTAAGGATTTCTTAGCTCTCTAGGAAGATGACAGTAGGTGAAGATGCCCAGTTTGAAACTCTCAGCTCTAGTTCGTGCTGGAGAAATATTGGGAGGGTTTAGAAAGCAGGAAATTTCTAGTCCCATTCTTGCAGGTGCTGTGAGCACATGTTGATATTATTTTGGTACCTGTAGGGTAGGAATTGGTCTTGTGGCATTGCCTCTTCATCTGTTATTCAAACTTCATTTTAGGATGCTGAATTTAAGATAGTGGGAACTGGCTTGGTTGCAGGAGCCTACCTGTTTTAACAGTGCCTTGGGTTAGCATCTCTGTCTTCATTTCACATTAAATATGTGCACTTGCTGTATCATCGTAGGTTTCTGAGACCACATCCATTAGTACAGCATCAAGGAACATTGATTTTTTTTTTTGTTTATCTGCAACCCAGCTTGCCTGCATTTATCACTTCCTTTTTATGACTAATAACTGAATAATGTGATCAGCTTGACCAGATTCATATGATGAAGTCACTAGAAAATTAAAGTCCAGAGATCTTTCTATTTTTGTCTCATAATTAGAGTGCTCTCACGTGTCCTATCTTCATCTGCTGTCAAAAGGTATATAAGCTGACCTGTTACAATAGCTAGCACCAAAGTTTTGATTTTCATTTCAGCTGGGGAAGTCAATTGTGATCAGTGTTCTCCTGTTTGGAGGCAGAGCAGCAGATGCTTTCCCAGCTCAGCAGAGGAAGGTTGCAGGCATTTCAATAAGAACCAGGAGACCAGAAGCTGAAGTGTGAAGGGGAGGAGTGTGAGAGCAGGATTGAAAGCAGCAGAAGGAAATCCTTTGGAGCTCAAAGAAACATTGCAGGAGATGATTCTGCTTTGGTTCCCTTTTAGCTTTCTATGTGTAGCTGAAATCCTTTTTTAGATTTCAGGGCTCAAATCGCTTCTGACAGTTGTATTTACCAGCATGATACAGGTGCTAACATGTATCCACTGATACCCTGCTCTTATGTTTTTTCCCTTTTCTTTCAGAGGTTTAAAAATGCATTGCTTGCTTATTTGTGAATCTCTGGGCTTTCTGAGCCTATGCTCCTTGGAAGGCTTACGTGTAAAAACCAAATTACTTCATAGAGCTATGTTTCAAGGGCAATAATTAATTTCTTTAAAATATGCATGTCTAACAGCTGTTGATTAATTCTTGGCTTTTAACCCAAAAGTTCAGATGTAACTCCTTTTTAATAAAATGGTGACAAAAGCCATGTTCAAATGATTTGTGTTTCCTGAAAAACAGAAAAAAATACTGTTGACCAAATATTTCTTGTTCTGTAATTAAACCGTCTTATGTGACAGGCTAGAACAAGTAAATGGCTGATTTAATTTTTTTTCTCCCATAAGTCAAATGAGTAGAATTCAGAAGGTTACCTCCTTCTCCATTAAATCATCCATCTGGATCTCTTATGCCTTACCTTCCCCAATATGGTAACAACCTGTCAAAAACTGCATTTCACCCACACTGCAGCTCTAGTGATGTATTAATTCCACGTTTGTCTCCTATGGGACAGTTGTTTTAAAACTCCGACACATTCTATAATGGCAAAGTAAGATTATAAAAGTTAAGATTAACAAAAAAAGCAATACATGAAAAATTTAGATAAATTATTATCATACAATGTCTTTATATGTTTATCTTGGCATGTGTTGTGACAGATGTGTTTTTCTCCCAACACACATATTCCCTGTGTGATTTTACTCCACTGCATTGATCTGACAAAGTGTCGTCTAGCCTTGCCCCTAGAATTTGGTAGCAAACACTTAAGCACTTTTCCCCTGCAGTTCAGCTCCAGGATTAGAGAGGCTGCTGTACTATCACAACATTCTTGCATTTAGTCTGTGAAGGTGTTAAGGGAAGAACTGTCACGACAAGTGACTTCATTTGATCTAAAGAAATTGGAGGAATTAAGTTGCAGTGGGCTGTCGTTTGCTGATAGCTGTTGGGGTGTGTGCTACCTGTTTATTTTCTTGGGAATAATCGACAGCACAGCAGGGCTTTTGTCAGGGGCCTTCCCATGAACTGCTGCTGTGATAAATCCAACGTAGCGGAGTAGTTCAGCTGAGAATTAAGTCATATGAAGAAATGAGCTCCAGGTTTCACTGAATATCGCAGCAGAAACTCCACAGTGCCTGCAGGCTCCAAATGATTGTGCTGCAAGGTGAGACTTCAGAGATAGTATAGGCAAATACATGAATGGAGTAAAAGATGCACAGCATATTTAACGTTTGCTCATCCAGCTTTTGATTGTGTTGTGGTTTTGCTTGAAGCACTGGGTAGTACATGAGGCCTGGATTGGTTAGAGTTATGTCAGGTGAAATGTGTGTAAAAATTAATATTCTTCACTGCATAACTAGTGAGTGGCTGAATGGAATTATACTCAAGGCATTTCATAGTTTTTGAGGAGTCAGAGAGGAGCTAGTAGGCTTCTCTTCTGCCAAATTCTACAACTGCAGGATACTGCAAACTAACTCTGGAAATTCAGTTTCTTTGTGAAGTTAAGTGTAGAGGCCCTGAGAAGTTTGTGCACAAACGGTATAATTAATATTTCACTACCAGAAAATTTCCTTTCTTAATTCTCTTTTTTAATATTTTTTTTTTCCTTCCACTTTGTTGCAGGAAAGAGCTCAGGGTTCTGGACAGTTCAGCTGTGATTTATCCTCTGTACCATAGCTTCTTAAAAAAAGCCGAATTTTCTGTTTTTAAACTCAGTTTGCAGTGATGTGGATAGCCCATATTTTGCTCTTATCAGACAAGCATCAATCTCTGCTTTCATCTATTGTTCTGCTTCTTGTCCACATGCAATCTGTTATTAACAGAGCTTGTTGCCTTCTGCCTCTTCCTTGGAAATGGCCTGTCATTGCTGCTTTGCAGGATCCTTCAAGGTCCCTGCTGGTTTCTTGACTTTTCTTTTGGGGCTTATTAGTAGAGCTTGAATTGTTTCACACTGTTTTGTGGAAAACAACCTCTTCTAGCAATTAGTTTGGGGAGGAAGGATAACTGTTGTTTTAGCTTTTCAGTTACCTTTGAAAATCAGTATCTCTAAACAACTACTAGGACAAGAAAAGTAGAAATGTAAGAGTTAATCCTGCATGGTGTTTAAGAAAATACTTCTGACTACTTTCTGTTTTTCTTTGGAGTCCTCTCTCCTTTTTGTTCAACCCCCAGTCCTTTGCTGCTTCTAGCCTTAACTGGAATTAACTTTTTGTCATTCCTTAAAGTACAGATCTCTTGATGGAAGAAGTAAATGTTAACTTTGTACTTTCTCTGAGTTTCATGCAGCATACTTATCTGGTGATGTCTGAAGATGAGGTCCACCTCTTCTTCATCACTGCAGTCCTTGCTGCTTCCTGTATCTCCACCTGCTGCTGCACATAGTTGAATTGCTGTTACCTTGCTGCTTCCAGTTAGTAATGGCAAATTCTTCTTCCAAATTACAGATGTAACCCAAGCAAAAGCCAAGAAGATGCTTGCACTGTTGGGTTTTACTATCATCTGATTCATGTTGGACTATATTTTAGCAGCCTGAAGCTGGCATTGCAGAGGTTAACTGGACCTCTGCAGAAGCAGCTATGCTACAGAAGACAAATGGTGCTAATTGCTGCTGATCTCTTCCTCCTTCCCATGTGACAGTAAATTATATCTGGATCACATAACAGTATCGTCTGTCTCATGTTATAAATGGTGAGGAGAGGAGGTTATGGGCAGAGTTAAATTGCCAAAGTGGGAGATAAATCAGGTCGATACTCTTCCATTCCTTTTCATACTGGTGGTATCAGTGACAGCCAGTCTCAAAGATTTGAGTTCTGATTTTTGTCTGCCCTACATCTTGCATTGCAGTAGGGTATTTTATCAGTTCTACTCTATATCCGTGCTTATTCTTTTTATTGTAAGCAAATTGCACACCATCATATGAAATCTGCTGTATTTTAACACAGACACCCCAAAAAGCTATAAAAAAATATCGTTGTTGGCACATTAAAAGCAAGAGCTGTGATGAGCCATCCTCCCTTATATGATCCAGAACTTTTCATCTCCGCCTATGACGTGATTGCCGGAGGCAATGTAACTGCCTCTGGGTAACCTCTGCTTTTTATAAAATGTAAATGTTCAGAGAAGCTGTTTTGAGGCTAATGAATAATGAAATAAGCTTACAACAGGAACGGTGCAAAACTGTCCAGATAGGCTACTGAATGCTGGTAGCAATTGCTGTTCTTGATGCTGCTGCTGATAACGCACACAAGGTGTACCTTTCCCAGCATCTTTTTCTTAGGCTGCCACCAGAAGGGACAATTTTGCTGTTTCCTGTGCTGTACGTCCTGTGCCTTGGATGATGAATAGTGTTGTGAATCAGTTCGGCTTGTTCATCTGATGGAGAGACTTCATTGCAGGAAAACCTTTCTAAATCGATCCTAGTTTTCCATCGGACCAGTGAGTCATTTATATAACCAGATACCAGCCAGGAGGTGTAAGGCAAGAGGCAGTAAGGCTCTGGAAGAAAGAGGAAAAAAGACCTGATCAGAGCTGTGTAACTAATGCAAACTACACCAACCCTCCTGAATTCACATGGGTTGTTGTGTATTCTGTTCCTAATTTAACTGTCATGTTTTTTTCTTACTTTCTGTGATACCTACTTTATTCCCCTACCTTTTTGTCTAGCTGAAACTTTGAACACAAATGAGTAGAGTTTTTTATGGCATCTGTATGAGGTCTCTGCCTGCTGTGGTGGTATGCAAACGCTTCCCAGTCTGTACTGAAAAACACCTCAGCTGAGCAGTTCTTCAGCTCATGTTTGCTTTCTCACATGTGTGTCATGTCAGTACATAGGAACTTGAAAAAAAAAAAATCCACAATGAAAGCAGCTGCCTGTTCCTCTTCAGAAGGTTTTTGTATTTCATTTTAACTTCTTTGTGTCTGGAGCTTTTACAGGCCAATTTGACTGCTATTTTGCTGCTACTTATAAGAATTTAATGCTGCTGTTAAATTAAAACATGTAAAGGCTTCTGCCAGCAGGGTTTGTTGGCCGTAAGGAATACAGGATAAGGATGCACTAGTTGAAGATACAGCCCAGGCAAGCCACCGACCTGCTATCAAGGATCGTGAGCTCAGTTCCCTGCTAAACTTTAGCCAAGGTTCTGCTATGTGCTATGTGCCCTGGGGAAAAATAATGCCTCGTGGCCATTTGATATACCCAGGTGGTGCCCTTAACACAGCAGGCAGTGGTGTGCTACCAGCCCAGAAGCAGCAAGCCCTCCATCAAAGCTGGGCTCCTCTGAGGCTGCAGTTGGAGCAGTGTCAGCTCTTCCAGCCTGGACTTGAATAAATGAGGATTCCTCGTCAGTCAGGCCACTCGTTGACCTTTGGTTTTGCCTGAGATGGAGCCAAGTCCTGTGTCTGACCCTGGATATCCGATAGCCTGAGTTCTTATGACAAGTGCCTGTGAGGGTGCAGGGTGCCAATATTCAGCACTTTCCACAGCGTTCGTCTGCTGGAAGCTGAAAAATTATATAACAGGGGTTCATGGTGAGGCCTTTGTGCTTAGGTGCTGTGCTGGTTCCAGGAGGTGCTTTTGGAGCTGTAGTGCTTTACATAAAGCAGAGCCCATAGAAGAGAACCAAGCTGGAAATGTTAAATTGCAATTTTAACCTCAAAGCAACTTCATAATCTGGAGTTAGTGATCATTCTTGCCTTTCTTGGCTACCACTGTCTTGTGGACAGTGTTGCTATCTCTGCCCTCAGCACAGAGGGACGTTTGAGGCTGTGTTAGCTGCATCAAAATTAATGTTTTTGTCCTCTAACTCCGCTGATGTAGGAATATATTTCTGTTCTGGGGTCTCCCTGAGACACACATACACCATGCTCTTACTTCCTATGAGATTGAAGCTATCTGCCAATGCAGTAAGTTATGTTGTAGTGCGTACTGCAGACATGCTGTTGTCTGTGCCTGTGAAATAATTAAAAGCCACAGTCACCCATTTCTGACCACGTGGGCTTACTTTGTCCTGTTTGAGGATGTGGATCAACCAGGTGGGGAACCATTGTTCAACAAGTCCTGCACCTCAAGCACCGGAATCACTGGATAATTTCTTCTGTTGCTTATGAACTTTATCTGCATGCTGGGTAACGAGCTGCTGCAACAAGATACTGTGACTTCAGGCAGCATCAAGAGGTGTGGGGAAAAAAATAATCAGTCAACAGACCTGTGAATGGATACTGAAAGGACTAGGCAGGGATATACTTTCTAATATCTGTCATACAACGTCAGAGAGGAAGGGGATGAAGAGCGCACTGCAGATTGGCCAAGCTTGTTTGTTCTTGAATAGCATCTCTTTTGCTACGTTTTTGTTGGAGACAAGATATGGTGCTGGATTTGATCTGACCAACTAGGATAGTTATGCTATTACAGGGGGTCCAGATTGGATGAACAAAATTGATGATGCCAATAGTGACAACTGAGCTTTCAGCTGTGGTGCAGATGGAATAGATCACCTATATTACTCTGTGCGTGCTTTATTCTGAACAGGGAAGTTCTGCTTCCCTAGTACGTTATGCAGTAACTCAAAGCCTGTGTTCTTGGTCCTTTTCAGACAAATGAATGGCGTCTAAGCTGTATCAATAAGGAATTCTCTGTCTGTCCCTCCTACCCTCCGGTTGTCATTGTCCCCAAATCCATCGATGACGAAGCGCTTCGGAAAGTTGCCATGTTTCGCCATGGCAGTCGCTTCCCAGTCCTCAGCTATTATCATAAGAAGAACGGGATGGTAAGCTGCACTTGAGTAATGGTTGTATCTGAAGGAAGTGTGTGAATCTGGGTTTTTTTTGTTTGTTTGTTTTGTTTTTTTAATGCAAAAACAACCTGTGCTCTAGACTTAATACAGTTCATGAGACATTCGCTTGTTTTATTTTCCAGCTTGCTAAGTGTATACAGTGAAAATGGTTGTGGGTGATGGAATGTGTAATCTCCATCCTAGAAATAGCAATTAATCCGCTTGTTTGGGGAGCGTATGTGGCGTGAGCTTGCTCACAGCAGTAAGAGCAAGATGAGATTTGTAAAGCCACCGCTGGCACCCTTACTTGCTTTGTTTGCCAAGGGGCTTCACGCTGAAAGGATGGCAGAAACCACATTGTCCTCTTTGTGGGTGGTGGGCTGTCTCCTTCGTAATAGTCACGATGACAGCGAGCGTGCCCAGAGCCAGCACCACTTCTGCTGTGTGACTGTGGAAGGAGCCATCAGAACAATCTGTTCTCCAAGCCTGTCAGAATAACGTGTTTCAGAAGTAGCAAATTCTTGGTGTTCCACAGACTTTACCACCTTTCCACAAGCCAAAAATCTATCTGAGGGACTGATATGCTATAATTAAAAAATGCGCTTTATGGAATCGTTGAGTAATTCTTTGTATCTCTTGCTGATGTAACCAGTTCTGAGGAACTTGGGATGTCTGACCTGTGCCTTGTAAACTTGATCCAGGCTTTTGAGTCAAATTCTCTAATGTGTTCACACCACCTATTGCCAAGATCTGTAAGCCCTGAATTAGAGGACGTCAAGTCTGACTTAGCTGCATCTTTGGGCTTTTCTGCTTTGCTTTAAAATCAGCCATCCATCAACTTCGTAACAGTCGTGCTTTCTGCTTTTTCTCAGCTTCACTGAAAACTGTTGAAGGAAGATTTGCTCAATTATCTCTCCTAACTGTGCATGTTTCAACTGTGAGGAATAGAATAGCATTTGGCACAGAGTGCTTGAACTTTTGACAGTAACGCTGTCTGTCACGTTGCTCTCCTGACTCGGAGTTCTCGAGCGTAGTTGGGGTTGCTGACTGGCTGCCCTCACATTTTAGTTATTTGAGCTGCTGGGATGCTTTCTGAATTGAAAGGCATTTACTAAAGAGAAATCTTAGCTCATAAATCTGTGGACCTAAGGTTTATTAGTCTAGCCACTGGGTAAAACTGTACCTAGGAGGCATCTTTAACACATGAATGACTCGAGTGTTTTAAAAACAGTGTCGGGAACAGACTTAATGATGAGAATCCTGAAAATGTTGGTTTATAAAGGAGCCATCAGCAGGAAGCCAGTTCAGTGGCTCACAAAGGTGGTATTACAGGAATAATTAAAGGGATAAAGCCTCTAAGAAGATGTCTAATTTAAAAAGTGGCCTGCCAAATGATCGCTCAATTCAAGGATTTCTAGTTTGTTTTTGAAATAAATTCAGTCCCTGCAAGGGCTTGCACTTAAAAGAACTGAAGGATCAGGGCAGGGGAGAACAGCAGCTGTAGGAAGAATTAGAGGGATGTTTCTGTGCATCAGGCAGCACAGATCAGGGCGTTTGCTTGTCTGTGTCCAGGCGTGGTGGATGAAACTTGCAGCAGATGGAAGTGGGAAGTGCAGTGGGGTGAGAGTTGCACTTGCTGGTGCAGCTCTGCAGGGAAGAGCTGGAGATCCAGGAGGGCCCCACTTGAATTTTACCCCTGAAGTGATGGAAGAAGCTTTTTAAGGTTGAGCTATCTCACTCCTGTAAGCATTCTTACAGTGACCTGAGTTTTTACGGAAAATAGGAGTATTCTGTATGAATTTCAGCAGCACACTTCTCTAGAGAGCCAATCTCCACACCGGGTGTTGAGATCCAGTGACCTAAGGCATCGGTTTGCAGTCTGTATTTACAGACCCCTAAGAAATCCTCCAGCGGAGGGTGTGTCCTTTGCGTAGTGAATTTAAACCTTCAGTTCTCGTGCTGGAGCTCGAGGGGTGACGTTCAGTCTTAAGTCTCTACATTTCCAGTGCCTAATTCATACTTATGTGTTCCCACAGGTCATGATGCGAAGTAGCCAGCCTCTTACAGGTACAAATGGGAGACGGTGTAAAGAAGACGAGAAGCTTATTAATGCCACGCTACGGCCTGGCAAGCGCGGCTACATCATTGATACGAGGTCCTTGAATGTTGCCCAGCAGGCCAGGGCCAAAGGAGGGGGCTTTGAACAAGAAGTGCACTATCCCCAGTGGAGGAGGATACACAAATGTATTGAGAGGTGGGTGAAATCACGCGGGCTCTACTCTGTGCTTGGCTGCGTAGGGTTGCACTGGCAGAGCCAGGCTAGCACCGTAAAATATTTGCTTCTGTAAGAAATGGCCGTGTATCCTGGTTCCTGTCAGCAGAGTCAGGTTCCTTTTTTAGCAAAGTAAGGTTATGTGGGTGATAAAGTTATTTGGCTTTAGGTAGAAGTGTTTGGTTCCTTGTTCTGAACAACCTGCTGCAGGTGTCAGACATCAGACAATCTCCCTGTGCCAGCTCTGAGCGCCTACAGCTGCACCCCAGCCTTCCTGTGTTCCCCTTTGCAGTGGTGCACAGGAATGAGCAAGTCCCTTGCCAGGAAATTTCTGCAGATGAGGTTCTAAGGCAGTCACACTCCTCTTATCCAGTACTCTTCTCTGAACATCTAATATTGTTTGATCATTTGGAGACAAGTTACTAAATTAAGTAGGCTTTTTAGTCTGACCTTGTTCAACTGCTCTTAAGCCTTAGTTTTGGGGAATCCTTCTACATGAGCACACAGTAATGTTACTGGAGCTATTGGAAAGCAGCCAGTCTGGAGCAGCTCCCCTGGGAGGCCGGGCTGAGAGAGGTGGGGGGGTTCAGCCTGGAGAAGAGAAGGCTCCGGGGAGCCCTTCGAGCGGCCTCCCAGGGCTTAAAGGGGGGGCAGGGGAGGTGGGGGGGGACTCTGGGTCAGGGGGTGGGGGGATAGGACGAGGAGTAGCATTTTTAAACAGAGGGGGCAGATTTAGAGGAGATCTAAGGCAGAAATCCTTCCCTGTGCGGGGGGCGAGGCGCTGGCCCAGGGTGCCCAGAGCAGCTGTGGCTGCCCCCTCCCTGGAAGGGTTCAAGGCCAGGTTGGACGGGGCTGGGAGCCCCCTGGGCTGGGGGAAGGGGGCCCTGCCCGGGGCAGGGGGGTTGGAACTAGATGGTCTTTAAGGTCCCTTCCAACCCAAACCAGTCTATGATGATTTTAAGATCAGTGTATTTCTGTAACCATGTTGTCCTGGTTGCTATATTACTGGTTATGTTTTCAATACTATTTTGCTTTTCCCAAAGGTTTAATATTCTGCAGGAAAGCCTCATCAAACTTGTGGAAGCTTGTAATGACCAGTCGCACAATATGGACCGCTGGCTCAGTAAACTGGAAGCTTCCAACTGGCTGACTCACATCAAGGAGATCCTAACTGCAGCTTGTCTAGCTGCTCAGTGTATTGATAGGTAAATCTTTTTCAGAAAGCCTTGAGTTTCTCATTCACTCATTACGGATTGCTTGTTAAATACTTGTATTTCCACTTTAAGTATTAGTAACTGGCCACCTTGAACTGGCTTACTTGTACCCAGGCAAGATACTGTTTCATCGTGGTTAAGGATTGTTCCTCCAGTAAATCATGCTTGTATTTTTGGAAGTACAAGCCTGAGGGAGGAAATCTTGACTAAGAATAGGTATTAGATCATCTAGTTAAGGCATAGTCCTATGCCTGATGCAACCAATCTAGTTTTATTGAAGGTTTAAGTTAGAATGTGCCCATCTGAAATGCTGTTTGGTAGCCTAGTAAAGTGAGAACACAGAGGGGTTTTTTTCTAAAAGTTCTTTTTTTTTTTTTTTCAGCTGAAAGTTTCCAATATCCCACCTCGCTTCTAGAGATTAAAACAATGGCATTTCCTTGTTTTCCCCAGGAACTGGTCCAGTGCTTTTTTTCTCTTGAAATTTTTATCCTCATAGTCCTATCTTAATCTAATCCTGTTCATCCTTTATAAGTCTCATGACCTCTTTTAACCCAACATTTCTTTAATAAATACTGCCGTCTTGGTTAATTTGTCTTCAGACCTCAGGCTAGAGAGTAAAAGCTAGCTGTTCAGGTGCCACGGTTTGTAAGGTCAAATGTGGGGGTCTAAAAGTGATTTCTTTGTGGCTCTGAGAGGGGAAGGCCCTTCTCAAAACCCAAGGAAAAACCTTTTCGTACCAGCTGGGGAATGTGTTATACAGATACACACGAGTAGGCTGAAATGCTGTTTTACCAGTAAGACTGCATTACTGCATTAAAATACGAGCTGCTCTGCTTTTTAAAAGCACTGATGGTGCCTGTTTTGTTATTGACTGTGCCAGAAAATGATTGCTCTTGATCAATAGTTTTATCTGTAATTCTTTCCTCTGTGTGTATAACGAGAAAGATGGGTGACGAAACTCTTCTGGCTTGTTGGGACGGTGGATAATTTCATCATTTTTAACCACAGCTTTGCTTTTTCTGTTTACCTGGAGCTAAGGCAGGCCAGCTCAGCGTTGGTGCCTGGCCTGCCTCATTCAGAGCCTGTGGATTGTAGCTGAGCTGACGAGGATGGTTCAGCGATATTGGCTGTGGGGAGGGAATGGCTGGGACAGATCTTGCAGCATCTTAAAGGTCTGGGGCCCGAGAGATGAATGGTGAAAATAGTGTTATCCTGGTGTGCCCCACTTTGAGGAGTGCATAGGCTTGCAGCTGGCCTCTGCATTTGTGCTTGGCTGTTAAGCAGCCTCTTTATCTGCCACTGCCTGGGGGAGGAGGAGAGAAAGTACCTGAAGATTATCTATACTGTAAAGGCACTGGGTTTGTTTTACACACAGGACTATAGACAAAGATGTTGCAATGTTTAAAGTGTAGATTTTGATTCTTTTCACTTCAAGAAGCAAGTAATGTGTGCAGGGTTACTTGCTTGGTAGGTGGATTTTTCTTATCCATACTTTGCTCTTTACCTTGGATCGCTGCACAGAAACAAATACACCCTGTAGTTGATTTCCTTTCTAGGTGTAAGGATGTTTGCAGAAGTGAGATATTGGGTCAAAGTTTGGGAAGAGTAAGGGAAATTAATGCCATTTAATACCATCCGGTCCTTCCTTCAGGACTATATGGATGAGGTTCTAATTTTGTATCCAAATACAGCCTAGGATGGAGAAGAGGGGAGGGAGTCAGCTGTCCTGGACAGTCCCCACTGGATTGTGGGGAGTGACAGCATACAGGCCCCTAGGAAGGTACAAAACCTTCCTGCCCCAGACTCCCTGAGCTCCCTCTGCTTCTCCCATTGTTCTGCTGATTCACTCGTGCTGGCTGGTGAGCGAGGAGCCTTTGTGCTTGGCTCTTTGACAAGCTTCCTTGCTCAGCACACTAACTCTGCTGCCTTTCTGGAGGCCAAGCTCTGCCTTTTCTTTCTTTCTTTCTCCTGAACTGACTTACTGGCTTATTTTTCTTGCAGTAAATCCCAGTTGAGACCCAAATGCAATTAGGCCCAGGTTTGAGCAAGAATCTTAGATTATTGTTTTGCAGAGCATCTGGGGGGATGATACATCTTCACTGCGGTGCTTATAGGAGTATTTCAGACAACTTAGCAAAACAATAAATGACACAAGGAAATTTTGAGATGCATTTCCATGTTATAACTCAAAGGGGTACCAATTCAACATAGAACCACCAAAGAGATCTCACTGTGCTTCTTCCATCAAAAAAAGGGTTGGGATTTCTAGATTGCTTAGCAAGAAACTAAACCTTAAGTGATGCAGAACTCTGGTTAGTGTTGGTGAGGATCCAGGTGGAGAAGGTGATATGCTTTCATATGGGGTGGGGAGGGAAGAAGGGGTAAAAAGCCAGCAAAACTTCAGCATTGTCAGGGTAGCGACACTGGTGTCCATGGGATGTAATGGCATCCTTTGGGATGCATATGTCCTTGGGATGTCTTCTGCTCACCAATTCTCTTATTCCTTTCCACTTTTTTCTTTCACAGGGAAGGTGCATCAGTGTTAGTCCATGGGACCGAAGGAACTGATTCGACACTGCAGGTAACCTCTCTGGCACAGATTATCTTGGATCCAAGGTGCAGGACCATACGTGGCTTTGAATCTCTTGTTGTGAGGGAGTGGCTGCAGGTAAGAAATGCCTATGGACAGAACAGCAATCTATTCCAATTGTATTGAGAAATAGCTTGAGAGGTAGCAAACAGGTTGGGCCTTGTTGCAGCCCTACTTAGTGTGAATGGCCTCTGTCCTAAGAGCAACATCAACTGAGTCATTTGTACCTCTGGCACACCATGGGGCCTCTGCCTCTCATGGTAGTTATTTTCTGGTTTCAGGGACCTGCCTGTTTCCATGTGCTCAGGGTGAACATCTGTTTAGCGAACACTGTTCAGACTAAACCACAAAAAACTTAGTTCTACCTAGTCATTGTACTTTTGCAGCTGATATCCTCAGCTTGGACCTTTGGTGTGCCTACGCCAGTTTGTTCTTGGTAAAATTCTCTGATCGAATACAGGGCTGTTTACATAGCCTCAAAAAGGCAGCAAAGTTGGTCGTGGTTGCTAGCAGTTTGTTACTGGATGCTTGATGAAATCACTCTAGTAGGAAAGAGTAGTAATGGCATAGTTGCATGGGCAGAACTAGTTCTAAAGTCTTTTTGCTACACGTACTCACATCCCATTACTTTGTGTGTGATGCTCTCTCTGATTCTTATGTATAGGCTGGTCACCCTTTTCAGCAGCGATGTGCCCAATCAGCCTATTCAAATAGCAAGCAGAAATGGGAGGCTCCAGTGTTTCTCCTCTTTTTGGACTGTGTGTGGCAAATACTTCGTCAGTTCCCTTGCTCTTTTGAATTCAACGAACAGTTCCTCGTTATGCTCTTTGAACATGCTTACGCTTCACAGTTTGGGACTTTCTTGGGAAACAACGAAAATGAAAGGTTGGTGAGGGTGCTTGCTTTGAACCCTTTACATATCGAGCTGTACCTGGAAAAAAAAAAAAAAGGTTTCTTGGTTTGGAAAAGGGTGAGGGTGCTTGGGCAGTCTCCCTTAGCACAGCTGAACTTGTTGCAGTTACATAGCCTGATGCAATGTTAGGGAGCTTGTCCCTCTTACAAGTGAGACAGTGCGACTTAAAGAAATTTGCAGCATGGTCAGGGAGTTGAATTTGTCTTCTCCAAGTCCAAGCTAATACCTTAGACTGTCTTTTCTGTTTCCCTGGATGGCCTTGAAAAATCTCCACCCATCACCAGTTTATGTAGTCTCCTACGCAGAAACTCTTTCCATTGAAGAACAAACAGCTAGAGTTCAACAATGGCGTGAGTCATAGCTGTGGGAAGCGAACTTGTCCATGCAGAACTGGAGGGAGAAGCTCAAGGCAGAGGCCGAAGCTGGAAAGTCTGTTTCTTCCCTTAATTATCAAGGAGTGAAGCATGACACTGTAGCTTGGTGGTCCTGATGCCCTCAAGAAAGGAAGGCTTTTTGGGTTTTGCCATTAACCATTGAAAGTCAAAACCATGAAAGATGTCCTGTCAGGAGGATCTGCCTCACAGTCACAGCTTGGCAAAAGCTTTACTTGTTTGGTTCTGAGCGGCACGATGAGGTTGGAGGTCTTTGTGGCCATGCAGTAGTACAACTTCAGCAGAAGGACCAAAAATCCCTCCAGCCTTAACCTGTGGCTTGGAGAAGTGTGATTGGCAGTCTGCACTGGCTGAGGTTCTGAGCGAATGCTGTGACCTCCTAGATGGATGCTCGTGCAACTCTGAAAAGAAGCAGCCAGGATTGCATTTTGATGGGGTCTACCTTGTCAGGTAACGATAGTCTGTGCTGAGCTTGCTTATGAGCTTGTGGCCTTTAAAGGCACCTGAGCAGACCAACACCTGGCTTCTGAATCCTAGCCTGGGTTTAGATGCTGTGCTGCACCAGTGGGGAAGCTCTGGGCATGCCCTGAGTAAGGCCGCTGGGAGTAGTTAACAGGGTGGGGCCGGGGAGAATGGGAGCCTTGCAGGGTAGTTGGCAGCTGCCAGTGAGGTTTGGATTCCTGTTTTGAAGTTGGCAGTTCTGTTCTCTGGATTCCTGACTCCAGTAAGACCATATCTTGCGGTCTCCTGCTTAACTGAAGACCACTGAATGAGTAGAAATGACAAACAGCTGATATTACAGAGGAGGAAAGCAATTTAAAACTTCCTATAAACCTCTCTGCCCTTAAAGTAATCTCTGCTTAGAAGAGACTCTTCTGTCTTCTGCAGGGCTGCTGAACTGGTCATCTACAAAACCAAGTTAGACTTGAAACCAGTAAGGTGAAATTTGAAGGAGTATTGAATGTTACATGTAATACCCTGCCTGTCACATCTGAACATGTCAGCATGTGAGCACAGAAAATGTGTGAAGTCTGATGTTAAGCTTGTGCTGCCTGAAGTATTCACAGGGACAGCAAATCTCCCTGGGTGGCAGTTCAATTTGCTAGTGGCTGCAGAATGAGGCTTGCCAGAATCTAAAGAATAGAGACCCCTATGTATCTCCTGGAGGTGGGTTTCACCCAGGAAAATGCTGCCTGCCACCAGAGGGACCTAATCAGACATGCCAATTGCACAATTCCAGCAATAGTACTGCTTTAATGTACTCTGAGAATTGCACTACAATCCTTCCTTGCTGCAGACTACCACGCCTCTCAGCTCTCTCTTAACCCAGGAGCTCAATCCTTTTCAAAACCTGGCAGTCAAACCACTTTGGGGAGGTGAATGATTCTTCATCAGGACAGAAGGCAGCTAACTTCCACCCAACTTATAAGTGGCATTTCCCTGCCTTGTCTTCAAAACTAATTGCAGTCGGCCAGGTTGAGTAAATTGCTTGAGGTTTTAGACCCTGTGCCCTGATGGTTAGAGGTATTGAAGGGATTAACCTGAATTGTCTGGGCTAGTAGCACGTGGGAAAGTTTGTGGCATTCTAGTCTACAGGGTTCTGATTAAATACAATGAGTCTTTATAAAAGTGAAAGCTAACGTGTTCCTATGGGTTTGTTAGGTCTAAATTGAAGCTGCCCCATAAGACTATGTCCCTGTGGTCCTGGGTGAACAGGTCGGAAGAGCTGAGCAAATTCCAGAATCCCCTTTTTGAGGCCAACAGCCTTGTCATCTGGCCCTCAGTCGCCCCACAGAGCCTGCAGCTCTGGGAAGGTAAGCCAGGCTTGCTTTTTCCGTTACAGGCAAGATATATTTTTGGGCTACTTGTAAAGCTTCTTAAACGTTCACTCGTGTTGTCTCTGCTCCGTGCTTAGTCTGTCTCAGCTGATGGTGATCTCACTCCCTTTGAAATCTGTTCCAAAATATTTTTGGCATGAACCATCCCCAGAGGCATAATTCTTTCTCCTTCTAAGGTATGGTGACACGCTACTCTGCCAGGGAGCCTTCCTAGTACCACTGAACTTCTTAGTGCAATATTTCTGCCGTGATAATGCCTAATCTGTAGATGTTCTGCAGATATCCTGTATCAACCAGGACTTCCCTTTCTCCATTACCGACTGTGTTGGCCAGGCTAATCTGTGTGCAGTAGGTCCCCTGCTGCAGAAATTCTCCATCCCATGTGTGCTGAAGGGTTAAATTACACTGAAGCACGTAGGCTGTCACGGCAGGATGGAGACTGAATTATGGATTCATCGGATTGGTATATAAGAAAAAAGGAAGGAAACCCCCTCATTTTTTCTTTATTAACCTTGTTTAATAGAATGGTGAACTTGGAGACGAGGGTCAGTCTTTCTGAATGCTATTTAGGGGGAAGGGTAAGGAAAAAACACGTCAACTGTGTGCACGTTATTTAAGAGCTGATAGAATATGAATGTTTCTTACTTGTAACAGAAATCCCTTCTGATTTGTGCTGTCTCTGGGCTTTCAGGTGTCTTTCTCCGGTGGAACAGGCCTTCCAAGTTCCTAGACGAAGCCCATGAAGAAATGATCAGTATTATAACATACAACAAGAAACTTCAGGCGAAGGTTAATGCATTGAGGAGGCAGTTAGCAGAGATGGAAACAGGTGATAGGGTGCAGGAGAACCTGTGAGCTGGCAGGGCTTTGCCTCAGGTCTTTCCTTTCCAGTCCCCTTTACATTAAAGACTAAACATGGAAAGTGCATGTGTCGCAGAGCGCTCCGGGTACACTTGACCCTCAGTCCTCCCACTGCCGAAACCTTCACTTCATGCTGTGCCCCTCCCTGCTTTTTGGGAGGGATTTCCGTTTTGTTTACAGAAGACATCCACAGCTGGGCATAGTGTCCTCTCTTGGCAGCTCTTCTGTCTCGAAATTGTGTACAGTGTCAGCGGAAGATGGAACTCTTACCTCCACCCAACTGTATGGATGACCAGGATGGGCCAAGGGACAGGATGTTTCAAATTTATTTTGGACTTTTTCTGGTTTTGTTGAACTCGCAAAACACTCAGCAGGATTAATATACGATGGTATGTACAGGCAGGTCTGTGCATTTTGTCTGAAAGCACCTTTTCTCTCCAAGAGCAAGTGAGGCAGATTAGTTCTTCAGTTTCCTAGGAAAACTAGAAAATGGTATAATCTAACTACAAGTTCTACCAGTCTACATGATACTCTCAGTAGCCTTCACATTTAACATTTGGGGTTTTTGTGTTAAGCATTGGCTTGGGAGCGGTAAGTTGAATACCAAGCCAGAGCAAGACGTTTCAGTGCAATACAGAACTGAAGTAGGGATTCTGCTGCTAATGTTTAAGCCATGACCTTCAGGTGGAATTGTCCCTCATGCACAAATATCTCCTAAGGAATAACAACCTTTTTTTTTTTTTATTCTACCTGGAAAACAAAAAGGTTAAGTGGTTGGTGGAGGCATTCACTTGCGAAACAGTGGCTCAGAGATGTCCTTTAACTACAGCCAAGCTGCCTGCTTGAAACTTCAGACTGCACTGTTTTTGTACACTTGAACAGGTTCCCAGCATTGCTAGGGTGCAAGAGCAGCACTTAAGCTACAGTTCAACAAAACACTTTTGCTCCACCTGGTGTGACTTTTTCCTCTCATGGTCTCACTATACATTTTGTGAAACCTCAAAAGGAGAAGTTGGGAGTTAAGGTGATTTAACACATCAAGTAGCTGCTGCAGATTAAGAGGCCATCACACTACAAAAATGCTGATAGTTTAGATCCTTTGTAGCTGCAAAAACTGCTTAAATACTTTTAGGGATAAGCGTTTTTCCAAGTAACTTTGTATTTTGTAGCTGATCTTTGTTTCTGTGACTGCAATCTGCTTTTATAAAATCAGAGTTTTTGCTAGAGACTTTTTTGTTCTCCTTTAAAAAGACAGATAAGAACAGGTCTGGAATACTAACTCGCCTAGGCATTTGTTCAGCTTGATTCCATTGGTAGCTGTACATGACTGAGAAAAGACTTGAATTAACAGCAGCACATGTGGCTGGGGTTACCTGAAAAGGCACTTGCTGTTAGCCTGTTTCTGCTGAAATGGACGGAGGCTGTGTCAGGTCAGTGTTGATCTCTTTGGAAACTGTTGAGCTTCCTTGACACTTCATGCTGTTTGGGAGTGAAGCTGCCTTTATTTAAAAGCCACTTTGCATAAAGATAGTTATGTGTGAAAATGCAGGATCTTTAGTTTTTGTAGGAGTACCTGGAGAGTAATCTTCTGCAAAAATCATGTAACCACTAAATATATTCTAAGAAAAGTTCTATAACCAAGGAAACTATATAAAATTATGTGATAGTGATTAAGTGCTACCCTAATGCTTTTCGCTTCAGTCCTTATTTCCTTAATTATTTTCATCTTGACTAACCTAAACTTAGTCTTAAAATCATCTGGCTTCAAAAATAAACAGAGCCCTCTTAAACTGTTGTTCACTTAGGGCAGAAGAATAATTCCCCCTACTTGCAATACCAGTTTGGGTTTTTTTTTAAGTTTGGAGAGCGATAGTCTTGTTTGCTAAATCAAGTCTTGACGTGGGGAATGCTGCTCGGGGTGGCTGGTGCCTTCCACCTCCAAACGGTGGCTTCTGGAGCTGCCTTCTGGGTTTATTGCAAATGTCAGCCCTTAAAATTCTCACTCGCCCTTTAAAATTATATCGGTGGGATCTGCACCTGCCTGGATGTTGCATCCTTATCCAATTCAGAATTTCTGCTGTTCCTGTACATCTGAAATACATTATCACTAGCCAGATGGGAAGGATTCAGAAGGCACTATTTTCCCCATAATTGACTATACATAAAACACACTTAAAGGTTATGTAATTTCCTAACATAGTAATTATATATTGAGCTAAATAATAGAGAAGCAAAGAGGGTTTGGTTTTGGTTTTTTTTTTTTTTTTTTTTATCTAATTGCTTGGCTGCTCTAGTCTCTCATGCAAACTGCAGGCATCAGAGGAAATTGTGTAACCAGCTGTGACAGCTAACAAAAGGCAGAAAATTCTTTCTGAGCTGGCATTTCATCCTCGGCTTGTGTTTCAGGACTGAATCCACACCCAAGTGCTGTGCACTTGCCCTGGTTTAGTGGTAGTGTGGATCACAGCCTTCCTGTGAGAATGCTAGGGCGGTCCTGAGCAGTTTCTTCCCCGGTTCCTCTGCTCGGCATCACCTTGAGGTCACTGCAAAGAGCAGGAGTTAACCTGCAACCTTCCTGCGACCTTCCCTGGCGCAGTCCTGCAAGGTTTTGCACGTGATGGAGAGTTCAGACAAGATGTGTGGACCTTTGCAGGTCCTCCTGGGAGCAGACAGTTCACCGACCTCTCGTGTCAGGCTACTTGCACATCTTCTGTTAACCTTTTCATCCCTAGGCTCCAGTCTGGTGGCCGCCGGTAATGCACCGGAGCATTCCAGTGCTTGGCTTACCTGCATGTCCACCAGCTTTATTCACATGTTTAATATTGATCAGCTTGCTTCCTTTTAGAGGGAGGTGTCCGCTGGTCTCTGCCACATGAAGTCACTGACGCCCTCGTTGCAGGTTACCTGTGTCTTCCTTGACCTGTGAGCACCGTGGCAGTGCCCAGCTCTGGCTCCTCGGTCTGACACCGCCTTACACTCTTGCTGACACCTCTGCTTCTGCTCTTTTGCACGTAGATATTTGCGTAATAAGCTGGATACTGAGGGCCCCCTTCCCCAAACTCTGGGGTCAATCAATGCGGACACTCCGCCATTTACCAAAATAAAAAAAGGGAAAAGAACTAACTTGCACAGTTTTCATAAGGGAGTATGTACCTTCAATATTTTGATTGTATTGATCTAACTCTTGAATGTGGCGGTTTAAGTGCACTATTGTCCATGTTGCATATGATATAACTTAAATTGCACTGTACAGCATATTGGTGTCTAACGTATGCTTTGCTAAAGCCTTGGAAAGTGCTACCATGTACAGGTTCCTGTATGAAGGGAAAATGTCTATACTAGCACTCCCTTTTTTGTAACGGTGTGACACTGACTAGCACTGTGTGATGTGTGCTATGTATCTGTTAACTAGTACGAATTTGAAGTGATGAGTGAACTTCTGTCCAGACTTCCGGAATTGCTAATTGGACTTGGCTGCTGCATCAGTCTTGATTTTTGTAAAATGAAATAAGTAACAGGGCTGGGAGTTGTGTGCTATTGTTAGATGTATGCTGTATGTGTACAGAATCCCAGCCACTGTGGTGTTGAATATATTGCAGAAAACCCAAAAGTAATGAATCTGAGAAAAACTATCATGGCTCAAATTGCTTAGACATCTGGGGGGGAGAAAAACAGATACAAAGTCGCTGTAAACTTTGCTGTAGATATGTTCTCAACATAGTAGAAATGTCTGTTCAAATTAAAACCTTGAAGACTCTAAAAAGTTCTTTAATTACAGAGCTGAATCTTCTTTATTCGTTCTGCCTTCTCTTTCCATTGGAGGGATGCGTGTGTGTGACTTGGATGTAAGCTTTTCCCCAAAACTTTGATTCTTTTTCAGCTCGTGCGTGTTTTCTTTTACAGCTGAACACGTGCTGTGATGGTAGGAGAGGGGTTTGTGCTGCAGAGTTGCATGGAAAGGAGAAGGTGGAGACCCTGAGTCTGTGTGTGGCTTGCAGAGCTCTGCTCCCATGGTTTGGTCCTTTGACACCAGCTCTGCACATGATGGATAAATAATTCAGTTAGCTGAGATTTTATGCTTGTGTTGAGCTCTCTAAAGGAAGGCAGGCAGATGTCTTCAGAGGGAGAGTGGTTCGGACTGAAGCAAAACCATGCAAAAATTCCATCAGTAGACCTGGGGTCACGGTTACCTATTGTCTTTTGGGGGTGCTGGGGTACTTTGGTGTACTTGTCAGGGAAACAGGCTGTGACCCGTGGAAAGTCCTGGATCTCTCCTGGCTGGTGAGTCAGTAGGCTACGAACCACTGGGCTGATTCCCTGCAGCAACTCCTGGTGTCTGGAAGGTGAATTTCTGTGGCTTTGGGCATTTCAGCAGATGGAGAGTATGGGGGGGTGTGCTGCCCTGCAGCTTGTGCAGGCCCATGTGATAACGCAGTGAAGGGTGCTGAAGGTTTTGGTGGGAAAGGTTGATCTTCAGTCCCCGTTTGCAAAATGTTTGCAAAAGCCCCAGCTGAAACAGAGTGGGTCTATTTTACAATATGTGTAGCTATAATCAGGCAGCCCGGTTTAGTTTTAAGCTTGCTTTTTGGAGGGGAGAAAATAACTATCTGATAAAGAATTGAAATTTATTTAACTTTCCCTCTTACGTTTTTACTTGAGCATGGGTAAGAGGGGCATCATTAGTCAAACTGTTTAAAACCAAATGCATGAAAGCTCTGGAATATTTAAAAAGATACAAAGCCCTGTGTTGGATTCAAACTACAATCGAGATGCCACTCATGAAAACGTGATGCCTTTATAGAGCTTGTATTGTGCAAACAGGCTCTTCGGGGCAGCTGTCATGGGTTTGTTTAGCCTGTATTATCTGCGTGTACAACACGGTATTTTGATTCAATGTGTAGAAACACCTGATGGGAGGGAGGAGTGGAGAAGACAGAGGCAGGCTCTGCTTGGTGCCGGGTCTGTGACTCACTGGGAAGCTAGCCTGGCTTTCCCAGCCTCCCTTTAAGTCACCTGGCATCGGATCTGTCCCATCTCACCCCTCCCTAACCTGCTCACCAACTTGGACGAGGCTCTGCAGGGTGGGGCATAGGAAGGCGACTACGTTCCTACGAGCATCAGGGGAAGCAGCAGCCTGGGCAGGGAAACCAGCTCACCCCTGCGGATGGGATGTCCATGAGCTCCCCTCGTTAAATATCGGGGTCCTCTGGCTGGCGGTGGCCGTGCAGCAGCACCCACATCCCGGTATCTTGGGCACAAAGAGATTTTGAGGAAGCTGAGCAGATCGAGGCCCTTGGCGTTTCTTCCTGAAAACCCAAGTGGTTTTGCTTAGTGCCGTCGTAGGGCTCTCTTCCATGCTGCCAATTTTTCCCCCCCAAGCAACAAAAGAAAACAGTGAGGAGGAACTACTGTTGTGCATTAAATGTAACTCAAGGCTTCTGGACTGCATTGCCTTGCTCACAGTTTGTCCTGCTGTGTAAATGTCAAGACAAGCCTGTGGCATTTGTCTCTCGGAGCCGGAGAGGATGATCCTTTGATGTTCTTTTGTAAGAGCGTTGCTGGTGGCTTTAGATCGCTTTATCTGATGCTGCAGGTCACGCTAACAGAGGGTTTACTCCTGAAGCTCAAAATCTGCTCCCTCAGCATCTTAAAGTACTGGCAGACAGCCTGGCCACTACGCAGAAGAAAACCTGTTTCTCATATAAATACTGGGGGTCTTAGATAATTTTTGGTTGCTAATCTAGTTGAGCAAAATTTTTGCTTGGGATGAAATAATCAGGGGGAAAAAAAAAGACCCAGAGTTGCTGTTGAATTCTGATGGGAATTCACCAGGCTGGTCGCATAAATCCAGTGTTTGCTCCTGCTGCTTTTTAGGGAAAATATACTTCTGTGCTTGTTTACACAAAACGAGTTGAAGCTCGCTCTTCTTTGTACTGCCATTTACCTTTTAGCCAGGCTTGAGCATCGTGGGTGATGGCTGTGCAGGTAAGGCTCTCTGCTCTCAAATGCCAAGGGCTTTTACGTTGCCGTGCAGTGGGCGGGAACTCTGCAAACGAGGGGTGCCATGAGAACAAAATGTTCACTAAACGGACTCTTTGACTTGCTGCGGTAAAATGCATGTTCTATCAGCCTTAAAGGCACTGGATGTGGTTACTAAAATCAGGTTTGTTACTGCTTGTACTGTTACTGTGTATAGAGGATCCATTTGGTTCATAGCTGTACGACAGTGCCAGCAGCAATAATCCCTTTGAGCTACATCATGGAAAACACAGAGCCCGCTGTGTCTTTGCTCCAGGAGGCTGATTGCTGCCCTTCAACTCCGTGTAATTTTGAGTACTTAATCTGAGTAGCTACAAGCTGGTTTGTTACTTGCCAAAGTGTAAAGCAGAAGTTAATAGCTTGGATGGTTCATGCTGATTTAAAGAGTAGCCATAATTACAGCCCCTAGCCTTAGAGTTTGCCAGAGCCTATCTCCCCAGCTACGCTTGGCCCCAGAAGCTTCTAGCACCTACTTTGTCAGGCAGCACTTCACACACCTGGGATGGCCTTGTTTGAAATGGTTCGGAGAGCCTGAGCTTGGCATGTGTGTCTAGGATGGAAATCTTCACACAAGAAATACGCATGGGAGGAGGAGAGCCTCCTGCGAGAGGAGGTGGGTGGCCAAGTGTCCGGGGGACACGCGTTGGGAAGACGCAGAGGCAGGGTTTTCCCTGTACTGGGTGTGCTGTGCACACCCCAGTTGGAAGTGGTACCACACAGGGTAATGGTTTCAGGGTTGAAGGGTGTAGGCTGTGTGGAGCTAAAAAGGCTCTCATCCATTTGGCAAAGTGGTTAATTCAGAAGTACAAGAGATACGGGAAATTTGCTTCCCGGTATCTCTTTCCTGACTTGAAATAAATTGTTGAGAAGCCCCAGCAAGGTAACTGCAACATTTCTGCAGGATATTTTCTGGTTTAGCCATTTTGTAGTTCCTTGATGGTATGAAATAAAAATTTTCTGGCAGTTATAAGGGTGGTTTCAAAGTTAAGTTTTTTTGGAAGATAACTGCTTGCCTTTTGTGTACTGTGCTTCATCTCTTCAGATACCATCTTTTTGTGGTGCTTGGAATATCTACGCTGCCGTGGCCATATCCTCAGTGGACGTGGAGTCTTCAAGTGTTAACCAGTGGCTTAGATACGGTATAGGAACATCTTTGAGTAAGCACAGCACTTGGTGCAGTAGACTGAGACCTCCCTACTCGACCTGATCCTCTTTTCCCTGAAGACTCGATGACATTGCTGCTAGAGCAAAGAGGATTCTCTCTATTTCTTATTTAATCGGTTGTTTCAGGGAGAAAACAGCAATTTGGACTACAGTGGGGTAAGTACAGGCCTCTAGTTTGTATATTTCCCTAGGTTTGGGAAGGGAAAAAAAAAAAAATATCTGTGTCTTGCTGGGAAAAAGGATTTCTTCCAAAGATCCTTAAGAGACACTTGCGCAACATCAAATACATAAAGTATTTTGGCTGCGTTGCCAGCAGTTGGCAAAGCTGTCATTTCACAATGGGGAAGGCTTTGGCAATGCTGAATTTAAATGTTGCTGTTCTCCTCCACCTCTTTTTCCTTCTCACTCGTGCTGGTCCAGCTGTTTGTGATTCCACGTGGCACACTGAATCGGAGAAACTGGTAAGGGTAAGTAACCCAGCCAAAAGGGAAAAGCCCTGGAGTCTGAGTCAGTATTAGTGGTGTTAAACATTGCAATGATGCTTTTAGTAATTAACTTACAGGGAAGATTTGTAAGGTGGCTTAATGGCTGTGATCTAAGGCTCTGTCGCTGCAACTGGGTCCTCATGTAGACTGGAAGGATGATTAGGATGATTGATTTTTTTTTTTTTTTTTTTTTTTTTTTTTTTTTTAATTTCAGGCACTGGGGTGGGGTGCCACAGATTGCTCGTGTCGCCTCAAGTGAGTTACTTCGTCTGCGTCAGTCTTGGTTGAAGAAGTGCATGTTCTGAAGGAGTCCAGGCAAAATTCCCTGTTCTCATGTGCCTCGTGTGTTTACTCTTTGGGTCAGAGACTGCTTGCCTGTTGTACAGCTTCGATCAAAGCTCGAGGCACTAACCTGGGTCTGAGCTATCACGTAGTGAAACTCTGTTGTGTCTCCAGGTGTCCTGAAAAGCCGGGAAGAGCTCCTTTTGCTCAGCTATCTGAGAAAAAGGTGTGCAAATACAGGAGTGGGCAGAGAAGGGGAGCAGGGACGAGATCACAAAAACCCTGTGAGTGGGAGGGAGATTAAGCCTGGGGCTCTGGGAGAGGCTGTTGCAGAAAGCTTTGAACAAGAGGAGCACTTCTGGGTGCTACATGGAAAAGGAGAAGGCGGCGAGTGACAAGAGCACTCTTGGAGCCATCAGCTCCATGGGACCATGCTGCTTATGAGAGGATGGACAGTTCTTGTCTGCTGCTGGAGATTCCCAAGAGCAGAAGTCATTCCCAGCAACCCGGGTCCCTGCTCTGGCCCTTTTGGCAGCGTGCGAAAAGCTGTGCAAAAGATGCTTCAGAGTTTGCCAGCTTATGGTGTTTTAATAATCTGTTCCTCCTAGAAGAAGGGAATGGTCTGTACACTGCCATTGCTTGGGCTTGTGTTGGACCTGAGTGGCACAGTGGTAAAACGGTTCCTTTTTCGGAACTGTTTGTAGTGGGGAAGAAAAAAAAGGATTAATTACTGAAGAATCAGATCCCTTAGGGGCTGGCTGCATACATTGCTCTCCAAATCAGGAGCATCCTTAAATCTGTAACTCAGATGCTGTTACAGGATGGTGCCTCCTGTATGAGTGAGGAAGACAGGGTGCTGTGCTATGAGAATCAAGCTGTCCACCTTCCTGAGTTAAAAATCAGCCTTTTGCTTTCCTCCCTCCCCTTTTCCAGCTCCCTGGATTTCTGTCTGATGAGAATGTTGTTACAACACCCAGCCCAGATCTGACTTTGCCTTCCCTGTCATTGTGGCCTTGAGAGGCAGAGCAGCTTGTTGGAACATGTCCTACTCTCTTCTCCTTGGCTCTTCTATTTTGCATTTCCAATATTCCTCCGTTAGCGTGTTTCTGGACTTCAGACTAGCTTTTCTTGTTTGCAGTCTCTCAGACATGGATTAAAAAACAAAAACAAAACAAAACAACAACAAAAAAAACCACCAAACAAACAAACAAAAAAAAAAACCACAAAACCTTAAAATCCAGATCCCATGAAAAATATAAAACATACAAGCTGCTCAAGAGTTTGTAACCTTCCCTCTCTCTCCCTGGAGTGCTTTTTGGAGCACCTTTTGGCATGCACAGAGGCTCTGTGAGCAGGATACACACAGCTGAGGACTAATGAGCCACAAGTCTGTGCTGACCACTGAGAAAGACACCCAAAGTGGCTTTGCTGCCCGGATGGGCGTTTGCCAGGTGGGAGGGTTGGCCTTGGCTGCTTGCTGGGGTGGAACATCCACGCTGCTGAGATGCCATCACCCACCTGGGGTTGGGTTTTCTCACCTTTCGGATTTTCTGCCCTCCCGTGTTGAGGTTTTCCCTCTTGCACCTTTGAGCTGCTCCCCATCATATCTCAACAACCCTACCTCTGTCCTTGGTTTTACCTTTCTTATCTTGCAGGGCTCTGTGCTCTTTCTCACAAGTTGGCAATCTCTTTGGCTCTCAGAGCAGGGTTATCCAGCTGGGCCGTATCAGGGAGGCCTTGGATTGCAGCTGAACCTGAAGGACAGGGTGGTTTCAGGGCCAGCTTGCTGCAACCTCTATCTAACTTGTGTTTGTGAGAGTTTAATGCTCCAGATGGTTCCCTCGGTGCTGGGAGAAGTAACTCGGTTATTAAATTACTCCTGTTTCTTTGTCTGTCTGGGGGATCTGCCGTCCTGGCGCGCTACTGGTCTAGAACAGAACTTTACATTGAGTCAGCCTAGCAGATACAGTAAAACCACCAATGAGGAGCTTCAGGTGTTCCATGCATCATCCTTCCCAAGCAGAAAAAGACATTTCACTCAACCGCATCTGTATATCAGGGCCCTGGAGACAACAGGATCTTTTGGTTTTGACCTCTGCAGCATGCCAGGCAAGGTCTGTTTGCCCTCGCTCCAAGGCTGGATCCTTGGTGCCCTTCCTGAGAGCAGCCATGGGGTCATGCTAGAGGCTCTGCTCTTCCTTTTTCTTTCGTTTGGTGGCAGGTAACAGCCCGGAGAAGTGATTGCTGGGGTGATGATCTGATGGAGATCGAAGATATAGTGGCATGGAGAAGATAAGGAACAACAATTTGCTCTGCCTTGTACACGAATTAAAGTGTGCCAGATTAAATTATCAGGTGGCTGTTGAAAGCAAAGGGGATGCTGTTTGGCAGGGTGTGCGGTGTTCAGCTGGGGAGCTCAGGGCCATGGGATACCGGAGATGCCAAACACGATAGGGGTTCAAAAAGCAGCTAAACATGGGAAAGAAAAATCCGTTAAGGGTTATTAAACCCTTAGGTATCAGCTGTGACTCCAAGTCCCCGAGCAATATGGTATCAGGATGCCAGGGAAGCATAGCTGTTATGTTTCCCTCCACGTCCTGTGCCCTGGCTGGCTGCTGGTGGCCTTCGAGACAGCATATAGGATTCAGATGACCCTTTAGTTTGACTCAGTTTGCCGAAAATGCTGCACAGTCTATAGCAGATGGAGTGATACTGCCCATACTCCCAGAGCTTTGCTTCCCCAGGGGCTTTAAATGCATTTTTCAAGGATGTGCAGTTGAACAAGAGTCCTCTGTGTTTATTTTCCTACTGTAGCTCTCCCTCTTTTAAAGAGAGACAGCTGGTTTTGTGAATGGTACTTAACAGTTCTTTCAAACTCAATTAGGCACTTGGGAGCCAGAAGTTGTGAGCACTCAGCTTCTAGAGCAGAGCAAAGGATTTTCCCCCCTGCAGCTTCTGTTATACCATGATTTTTCTAAGATGTGCACACTTTGAGCTGAGTTTTTAAAAACTGGCCATTTGTTAGTGTCTGAAAACCTTGGAAATAGTGGCCAGTCCTGCTTTGTTTTCTCTCCAGACTTTGAAATGCTCGGAAACAATTTCATTCATCACTTCCCTTCTAAGGGAGGAGGGGGAATATTAGAAAAAAATCAGGCTCTGTCCCAACCCTGAACTGACTTGAATCTTGTATTTACAACAAATGCCATGGATTTTGTTGGCAGGCTTGACAGCAAACCATTCTTGCATCTGAAATGGCTGGACAGTGAAACCAAAGTGCTTTTTCCTTTTGTTGTAAGTGCGTATCAGGGCACCGTGTTTTGTATAGGGTCTTCTGCTCATGCCCTGTAGCTGCACCCACGTACTACCCAGCCAGGCATTGAGTGATGTGATTAATAGCTGTCACATGTGGTTGATTCTGCCTCTGATCTCTAGGCTGGGGAGATCTGTGTGTGCAGTGGAGGGTTTTATTTTGCTAGGGGAGCTCTGTGAAAGGTTTCCCTCTCAGGAAATTGTTTCTGCTACTTTAATGTTGGTCTTTGTCCTGGCTGAAAATTAAGACCTAAAAAAAAAAAAAAAAAGGAAACATGCCTATTTGTATGACACTTTTTTTCTTTATTTAGTTAAGCTTGCCGGAGTATTTCCTTTAGGTACCTTTAACAAAAGCACTTGAATATTTCAGGATTCCTTTTTGGGCTGCTGAGCTAAAGATTCCAGCTCACTGAGCTGTATGCTCAGAGGGCCTGGGATACTTTATATGTCATGTTTTCATGCTCTGGACTGCTGCCCAGACAACATCTCCCAAGAGCAGGCCACTGCCATGAGAAACAGAGCTGAGCTGGCTTAATGCAAGCACGTTAAGAATGACCATGCTGGTCAGAGTGAAGGTACAAGCATCATCACGCTTGGTCTCCAGCAACCATCATCAGTGGATATTTAAGGAGAGAATATAGGGAATGGGATATTTCCCAGGTGCCAGTCATAAGCGGTTCAATGACTTCTTGAGGCAGAAGTTGTAGCTGGATTGTCATGTTTAGTACTCAGTATGGAGCTGTCCTCTGCAAATTGCTTCTTGAATCCATGTTCCCTTTGGTGATCAAGCACTGGGCTCTCCTGTTTATTTTGGAAAGGGTACGAACGTATGGCACCCAAAGCTGCAGTTCCAGCAGGCAAACAGCAGCCTGAAGTCATGCAACTTAACGCTGACATGACATGAAATACTTCGGATTTAGTTCAAGAAAATGCTGACTTTTCATTTAAGGGGAATGAAAAGAAATTGGAATGATTTAGGCAAAATCCCCTTTTTGCCCCCAAGGACTTTTTTTTTTATTATTATTTATTTTTTTTCAGCTGAGATTGTTCTTTCTGTGGATGGAAAATTCCCAACCTGCTTGAGTTGGCAAGCTCTTGTTTTTAGCTAAAGCATATGCTGATGTATGTTTGTATCTTCCTCCAACAAAAAGCTGTGGATAAATAAAGAGCTGAAGGCAGCATGCAGTTCCCTTCCCCATTCCAACAGTCTTCATGTTGCCAGCGGGTGGGATGGAAAAATGTCGACTACGGTTCAGTCTGCAGGAATGACAGCAAAATCATACTAATTTTAAAGCATAAAATATAATTCCAACTCTATCACCTGCCCTACAGGAGACTTCACTGTAAATGCAGGAAGATACTGAAAAGTTGATCTCCAGCACCCATTGCCTGAGAGATGACAAATGAGAAGATGGAACAACCTGCCTTTATTTCAATAGGAGGACTATTAAACTTCCAAGAGCAAAGTTTGTAGGCTCATCATGCTAGATTATAAAGATTATCTAATAATTCTGTATGGAAAATAGAGTTCTTAAAGGCTTTTGCCTCTCCCTAGCTTGTAACGCTTTGCCTTATTACCCTCGAGCAAAGGCAAGAAATGCTTAAGCTGATTTTTCACTGACATTCTGCACGCTACTGCTGGCTGCTCTGCTCAATCTTAGCAGCTGCGAGAGGCTGGCGAGTCTGTGGGAAAGGTGTCTGCGTGTTCTTGGACACATCAAGCTTGCTCCTAGTACTTGACGAATGATTTCGCAGCTGTGGCAGCAGCTCCGTTTTGCAGAGCTGGCCATTTTAGATTTCGTTTTAAGCGTGTTTTAACTTTTCTGTCCTGAAGTTTCCCTCTGAGGTTTATCTGCCAGAAGTCCGCTTTATTTCAGAGTGAAAGTTCTGAGGTTAATTGAACAGGGCACTCCGGAGATGAGGGATTGAAGTCCATGAGACCTTGCAGATTTCATAAAATGCACTGATACATCTTTAGCAGGCATTTCTCAGGTCAATTCATGGAGGTTACACTCTTCAAAACCAACGAAACCCAGTGTTTCCCTGGACTGTAATGAGCTACACTAAGCAGTTGTGCATCTACTCCCAGATCTGGCAAGTCAGGGTTTGAGCTCCTGACAGGGAAGCTTTACGTTACGTTATCAGCTGAAATTTGAGTCCTTTTCATAAACCCACTACTTTTTCTCCAAAGCCAATTTACAAATGCACTTAGTAAATAAGAGTTGAGAAAGTGGCTTTAACTTGATTACAGGCTTTTCCTCCTCTGCTTTGTTCCCTTGCAGCAAATGACTCTGATGAATGGCAAGTCCTGTCAGCCTGTAACTGGCCTCAGCCAACTCCGAGCCAGTGGGGGCAGTGGGAAGAAAGGAGGAAGAAACAATTATGTAGGACTCCATTAACATCTGAATATTTCACAGCAAACAGTTTTTGGAGTATTCAGTGCTTCAAGGCTGCTATGTGGTGTTCAGCAAGTTTCCATCTCTCGGGCAGATGGAGGTGATTTTTCCACCCTTCTTGTCCCAGAGTTGCCTGCTCGGTCAGTGCTGCGATTTCATCCCCTGTAGTGTTTCAACACTTGCCCCGCCACGCTGCTGAACCCAACCTCTTCCTACCACGAGAGCGCAGGAGGTGGGTTCTCGTCTGTGTGGCAGTGCTGTGTGTTTCTGCTAAACCCAGAGGCTGTTTTGCACCAACTGGTGAAATAGTCCAGGGAGATCACGTCTACAGGGGGGCTGTGACATCATCCTTGCACTGAGATGGCATCATCAGCTCTGCTGCTATAAGGTAGTGGATGGCCTTGTCACTCCTGTACAGCTGTCTGTGAGGGAGGGACTGGGGTGATGCAGAATTTTTGCCTACTCGATAAATGTAGATTGTAATGATAAGTGTATTCATTGCCCCATTCATCTGACAGCTGTGTGTTTACTGGGTAAAAAACCTGTATATACTGATGCATTTCTCAAGGAACTCTAATCCCTCAGCACCGAGGAAAGTAAACCACCACACAGACGATGGTAGACCATTCCTTTTGGATCAGATGGTCACTTCCCGTTTCCTTGGCTTCTGAGCTTCTTAGGAAGATGCATCGTTGCACTGACAGTGAACTGAAGTTATGAAAACTGTGTCCCAAAGATGTTTTTCCCAATACCGTCTGGTTTGCATTCTGAGGTTTCCAAATCTTCTCCTCCCCAGCACCACGGGATCCATCCGTACACAAAGGTTGCTCGAGTGGCCTGCTGCTGCTTCGCTGAGCATCCCAACAACTCCAGTGGTTGCCTCGGTGGCACAACAGACACTGCAGGTCTCAGCTGGACACTGTTTGGATTGGAAAGCCCCTTCCATTGAAGACTCCTCATGGGGCTTGAAACCTCCCTGTGTTTTCAGGTATGCACTGAACAGCCCACCTATTACCCTGAAAGGCCAGATCCAGATGAACCTTGGGAGAGGAGGACGATTAAATTAACAGTATTAATGACCACTGTTCTGTGTGGTCTGTGATAAACTTAGTGTGAGGTTTTGTCTGAGTTTTTAAGATAGTCTGGTTTTCATGTCTCACAGGGTACGCTCCTTACAGTATTGCAACATCTGCTCACCTCAAAGGCCTGTGTGAGCTTGTTTTCATACCAGGTTGTATGTTGTTTGTAAGGATAGAGACCTTTAGGAAAGCAGGCCATGATTTACTGGACAGAGGAGACTTACTGTGAACAAACTCCCTTCTGCTGGCCTGAGAGCTGTTCGATATGCTGCTCCTGCTTATACTGGAAACTCATCCTTGTCATTAGCTGCTTTAATTACGCATCTTGTTTCCATAGCCTACTTGAAGTGAACCAACCCCTGTGTGGAAACCTGCACTGTCAAGGCCAGTAAGGAAGTAAGAAAAAACGAATGCTGAGTGCACGCCAGAGACTGTTAGTGGATCTAATTCTGCAAAAACAACTGCCGAGGGTAGATAACATTACCCTTCTGCCTTTGTTTTTGGCTGTGGTTACTCATGTTTGGTATAGGGTGAATGCATTTGGCCTTTATAGAAGCTGTGAAGGGCAGGGAGGTTGGTTGGGACTTACTGTTTCTGGTCTGAGCCTGCCCCGTGATGTTCTCGGTGTGTTACAGGAGCTCTGCTGGAAAACTGGGAAAGTCAGCAAAAGAGAATTGCAAGTCACTTTGAATTAGAGCACCTGTCCTGCCCCTTGTGAGCTCCGTGTATCCACTCTGAGGTGTGAAAAACCTCCGTTTAAGGGCAAGAACCAACTTGCTGTGGATTTCTTAGCAACGTTCTGGCCATTGGTCTTTGGTGCAGAAACCAATGTAGGGGAGACTCTGTTCAGTCAAGAGGATCTTCACTGGAACAGGGCAGATAGGAACCATGATTGCGTTATCTGCACAGCCAGACAGTTACGACACCGTGCTTCAAAACTGGAGATACACCCTATCAGTGCACACACTCGTGTTCACAGCCCCAGCTGACAGCTGTTCAGCAAACTCCTGTGCAGCTTCTACCGTATCACAAGAGAGAGGCTGCTGGCTGATTTTGTGCAGGAGATGGGCGTAACTGTTCCAAGAAGAAAACTCATCTTATCAACATACTTGATCTTCTAAGTAGGAGGTCATGTAGAGAATAAAGTTAGTGGACCTGCATGTCCACAGCACAGATCCCACTGAGTGCTAAACTCTGGGGTAAGGTTAACACTCAGGTACTCTTAGACTCTACAAGTGAAAACTAAAATAGTCTTAGCTAGGGAATTTACTTGCTATCAGGTATATTGAGCTGGGAAAGGATGGCATTTTCCACTGGAGACATTTCTTTTTATGCTGTTTTGGAACACGACTGGTGAATTTCTGTACAGGACAAGAGTGCAAGACTGAATGCTTCATGGGTTATTAACCTAGGTTCAACATTTTTGGATCTCAACCACAGGAATATGTTCTGGGACCTGACAAGCCTTCTGAAGAAAATGCAGTCTTATGTCTTCTCTTCCAATGTCCTCCAAAGCTATTTGTACTGAGGTTTTGGAGCTGTGTTTCTCGCTTACAAATTCTGCCTCTTCGTTTTCCTTTCTGGCAAAATGCTCTTCACTCGAAGCACCTGCTCGGGTGTTTCACATCAACAACGGAGAAAGCAACTTCTACAAATCCTTTTCTTACCCTTCACTGTAAAGTGGGTTCTGGGGTACCAGGTCAGTCCCGCACAGAGAGCCATCTGTGTGCAAGGCCTCTGGACCGTCTCCGTTGTCTCAGGTTACAGTTTGCATCATGCAACGCTGATCTCCTTTGCACTTTTGCACTGGTGTTTCTTCTTTTCACATGACTGGGAGGTGCACAGGTAGCTGGTGCAAAGGGCTCCCTTGGGGCTAAAATGGGGGCCCAGAAAGCCTCCCTGTGAGTGCCCTCTGGCCTGGGATTGAACACCTGAGACACCAGGATCCCTGCTGATGCTTCTCCGACTGGTAGCCTGACAGGAAAGGAGCAAAGCCCGTGGTGACCCCTCCTGGAAAGGCTGCTAAGACTCCAGTGAGATGTGACTGCACGCAGCAGTCATTTGGGACCCCTGTACACTAGTTCTGCTCATTTTATCCAATGCTCTGCTTCGCTCAGTCTCTCCTTAGCTTCTCTGCTCTCCTTTGCCTGCCTCAGGGTTGTGAGTCATCTCCCCTTCGGTTTCTCAGCCCATGATGTGCTGCTTGTTGCCCCCCATCTGTTGTACTTCTCCCCAGCCCACCTCTGCCTGGTTTACTCGGCGTGAATGTCCTGAACTGTCTTTTCTTGTTTGCAGGCAGCCTGCTGAAGGGCAATCCCATCTGTTGGGGCTGATACACAGACACTCTCCAAATCGATGTGATAATACCGTAACACCGTATGGAGGCAGCGAGGACGTTGCACATTTCTTGGGGGGTACCGACCAAACATCCTTCTAGAGGGGGGCCTCACTTGGCCAAAACTGCAGAAACCCAGAAACTTGACGTGGTTTGATGCAGTCCAGGCCCTCCTGATTTCCTACACAACTGGTAAAGCCGTATGTAGCCGGAAGTTCTTAATGAGCAACCAGGAGGGATTAGAGAGCCTGGAGCAGTTTGTGCAAAGCATTTGGACTTAAATCTGATCCCGTGTCACACTTTCTAAAACTCTTAGCGGCGTCCTGGTGTGCTAGGTTTTTTCAGCCTAGGAAGCAGGGCTCGATATGGGAACCCCACCCCTAAATCAAATTTCTCCCGCTGTTCTGGGCTGAGTAGGTGACTTTGACAGCATAAGGTGCTGCCAGCACGGGAAGCTTGTGTGTTGTTCCCCTTCTCATGGGAATATTTTGACTATGTGGATCAGTAGGATGTCCTCTGAAGGACAAAGGAGACAAGCTGCTGGCAAACAGGACACTGTGTTTGATGGATCATGGAGCTGATGGACCATGGCAAGCCTTAAACGGGGGATGCAGCCAGCAGTGCCCACTTTCAGACAAAAGTTGATTGAATCCTCCTTTCCCTGAGCCAATCCTCAAGTCTTCTCATTGCCAGCAGCATTTTCACAAAGAGCTTCCACAGCTCCAGACCCTTCTCCTTTCTTCTGCTCAGCTGTACGCCTAACAAACGTTCGTTTTTTTTTTTCCTTAATCCAAACATCTCTATCTTTTACAACTATAAACAACATTAACTCCGCAAGCAATCTTGAAGAACAAAGGCTTTTAGATAAGATTAGCTTGCAGCAGAGATATTTGTAAGGTTTTTTTTTCCCCCTTCCCTCCTGCTTATGAATTTCACCCGTTGGCAGGCAGGTTGGGGATTGTTATATAACAGCTCAGCTACATATAATTAGAGGACACGAAATTATATAGGAAACAGACATATTACTCAGTGTGGATACTACAAGCTTACCTGAGTTTCAAAAGCACATGGGCGAGCTTGTGAAGAAGAAAAACATTAATGACAAGTGACTGTAAATATATGGAATGTGAAGGTACCATGTCTGGCTCAGAAAGTCCTTCAGCTGTAGATCAGAGGTCTGTGAGAGTATTGTGGGGAAAGAGCTGCTGTTAGAGACAAGAAAGCTGGACTAGGATGATCTTTGCTTGATTTGCTGTTGTTGCTTTTATGTTCTCAGTTCAGTTCACTGAGTGATGAGCAATACCTGCCTACCCACAGCAAGGAGCAGATGAGGACCTCACAGAGCTTTTCAAACTAACTACTCTTTATAAAAATGCTGGCTTTCAGGGCCATTTATTATAAGCAGAACACTAAGGCATAAGGAAGCTAAGTGCAGTAATTACATTTGTATGGGTCTTTCCTGTTGGCTGTACCCACTAGATTTTTATTCATACAATGGAGTCATTTTTGTGTGGTTTTCTGCTTATCAATTTCTGTTCTAAAAATGATTAGCGCTTGAGTCATGCTTACCCTCAAAAACTCTTAGTACTCTCTGTGTTTGAAGGTGCTCCTGAAAGCAAACCAATCTCCTCCTGGGACTTGGATTTCTGTTGTGACGCACTTCACTTGTAAAAGAGAAGCAGCAATATGTTTATTGATACCAAACAGTGATTTGACAAAGTTGGATAGTAAACATGACAATGGTTTAACACGATTCGATGGCAAGGTTCACTTGGTATTTACTGCATAGAGGACAGGGTCAGACAAAACTGTCAGGTAGACTCTCCTGTTAAGTCATGAGGTTCAGAGTGGACCCTCTTGCTTTCTAAATTCCTTCCCAAAGAGCAGTCTAGGTGCAGCTGGATCCACTCCTAGTCCCAGACTTGGTCAACAGTTTATGTCTAAAGGATTATATGTGCACAATCAATCCTTTATATCACCTTGGTTATTGTGTTGTTATCTGTCTCCCTTGAATCCACTTTGAGTCAGATGCAGCCATCACGACCAGAGACCAGATGCATCCATTACCATCACCACTGGTGGTTATCACTTGGAAAGGGTTACGGGAAATACGGGTCGAGGTGGAGGGTGGGGAGGAGCACACTGCCACAATTTCACATTTAAACATACCTTGGTAAAATGTTACCTATCTTTTCTGAAGTTTATTGTATTTCACAGTGTTTTGCAGATTATAATCTTTCCATTTTGCCTAATTTCTGCCCATAAACAGGTCTTAAACTGTTCGCAGTGGGGTAGAGGGGTGATAAAACACCTTTCAGCTTTCACTTTTTCGTCTTCCTCCATGTAGAAAGTCTAATACTTTAATTATTCCTGAAGTCTTGCCATCAGTGTTCTGCCATTAATTACCCCAGAAGATATTTACTATGGTCTTAAAGGACTTTCCCTTTCTATCTTTTTCATGATGGAGCTCCTGATTTTTATTTATTCTGAATACTCAAAAGCCTTCCTGGCATTTTAACTCTGACAGATGAACCTGCTCTTGAACCTCTGTATGAATTCCTAGAGACGGAATAACTCTCCATCTGCATGCTGAAAATCAGACTGATTCCCAAGTACACAAATCCCGCAGAACTCATCGATTTGCCACACCGCCCTCAATAGTTGTTTAATCGAAAGGTTTTCCCTGGCAAAATACGCAGGTCACTGGTCCTTCCTCTCACCCAGCGTGATTATCAACAGCAGCACCCATCCTGCACAAGGAGTTGGGTGTGCAAGGGTCACCCAATCTCTGAGCGAAGTTCCTTCACCGTTTCTTGAACTAGCCTTGCCCTTTCCACAGCCAGAGGGGCTCTGTGACATTTTCACCGGTGCAGCCCAGCACTGAGGATGCTGTGGACGTCAGAAATACTATTTTGGGTGGAATTTTCCAAGGGGCCACCGCAACTCCCCTCGCCTTGGCCCTTCATGGCGGTGCACACCCCCATTTTCTTTTTGCAAGCCTGGCCGTGGCCAGCGCCGTGCTGTCAGACCGGCGGCTGCTGACCTCGTATTTTGGGGGAACCTCCTGTATTGGCGCTGAAGTGCGGAAACAGACTTCACAACTCACCAAGAGCTCTAAAGCAGGTGTGTTTATTGCAGCGCCGGGTGCAAGGGGGATCGCTCCTCCTAGCTTGCACACCAACAGCACACTTTGCCACAAATTTATGCAGTGCAGGGATAGATATTCATGGGATTACACAACACAGACACACATATGCAGAAGCGAGGCGGGGTTAGTTTGCACAGGCTCAGATCTGTCTCTGGTGGTCGTTTACTTTTTCATGGGTCTTATTTTCCTCTTTTGTCTTTTTGATGAACTTTAGCCATTCACGCATGCTCTCTTCATACTTGGTGATCTTAGTAGCCTTTTTATATCCGTTTTACGGTCAAGATGACACCGTTATTCTTGTTATCTCCCCCTGCCTCTAACACACAGTCCTTGACGAATACCAGTCCCCGATAAGCTTAGGCACCAGTCTCTAATAAAAAAAGTTTCAAAAGAACATTCAAGGCAGCAAAATAACATTCAAGGAAAACAGGATCGTTAAGAAATTGCAAAGCAGTTAGCTCCCTATATCAGCGCTTCCTCGGTGCCACCGAGGCTCCGTCCCTCGCGCCCAGGCCTCCGTGATGGCCGCCCCCCCTCACCGGAAGGGCGCGCCTCCCGCGGCATGACATCACGCGTTGCGTGGCGTCGCTCTGACGTCACATCACTCCCCCCCCCCCCCCCCCACACACACCTTCCAATCTCCTCCCCGGCAGGCGGTGACGTTTGGCTGCAGCCCCGCCCTTCCCCAGATTCTCCCCCAGAGGCGCGGCGCCGGGCGAGAGGCAGCGGGAGCGCGGCGGGGTGCGAGCGTGAGTGTGGGGCCGTGTCCGTGGGGTTGCGGGGGTGTGGGGCCGTGTCCGTGGGGTTGCGGGGCCGCGGGGTTGTGGGGTGGCCCCGCTCCCCGGCCCGTCACTTAATGAATGAGGTGGGGGGGGGCGCCGCGCCTGTAACGGCTGCGGGTTCGGCGGGCGCCGCTTCCCGCCCTTCAGCGCCTCATCCGGGCCCGGGGAAGGAGCCGGCTTCCCCCCGCCGCGCCCCTCCGCCTCCTCCCGGGGCAGCGGGGCTGGGTCCCCAGTCCCCTTCTCGGCCCTTTGGCTTCTCCCCAGAGGGCTGGCACGGGCTTCAGGCTCCATCCTGGAGGCCCTTACCCGCCCCAAGAGCATCACGCTGTGCCGTAGCTGGTATAACCTGATTCTCTCTCTCTCTTTTTTTTTTTATTTTTTTTATTTTTTTTTTTTTTTTTTCGGTTGCTGAGGTCAGATTTCTAGTCGTTCCCTCGGGCTGACGTTGTTTCTTGGCGGGCTTCGCCGGGGGTACGGCGGGCGCCCGGCGGTCGTGCGTCACCTCTGTAAAACGAGCCGCCGCGGCTGTTGCGTGCCGTGTCAAGGTTATTTTTCAGGGAGGTTGGCCAACAGCTGCCTGCCCGAGAGATCAGCGCCAGCACGGCCACCCCGCTGCCCTGCCCTGGCACATCCACCCCGCCAGGAGACACAGGGAGGGACGCAGGGACCCCCTTACCCCAGTTTGGGGCTCGCCGAGCCCCGGGAAATGCCAAGAAGGGACGTGCGATGGCTTTAGCCCGTCCAGCTCTCCAGCCTGCGCTCACTGTTGGTTGAGCTGAGAATATCCCCTGGCTGTTGTGGCTTGAGCTCTCCCAAACGCGGTGATCCCATGGGCTTTCCAGTTGGCAGCGGCGGGGTGCCAGGGAGTAAGGCTTTCCCGTGGGACGGGAAAGGTGGCATGTGCTTCGTCTTCTGGATGCCTGAGGCGGGCAGTAACTTTCCACTCACGCCCTTCTTAACTAACACAGCTGGAAAAAGCGGAGGAGCTTTCCAGTGCATAAACACTTCTTCAGGTCAGAAGCAGAAACTGTGTGGCTTTGGAGACAAACGTGAGTTGGGAATGATAGCTTGGAGTTTAGTGCGCCGGTGTGGACCATATGCCTGAGGATGTTGGCTGTTTTCAAAGTACTAGTGGTTGGGAATCTGCAAGATCCCGAGCCCTAGAGAGCATCTTCACTTTCTTTGAAGGAAGCAAGTTTGGGACAACTCTGGTTAGCTCTGTGGAGGAGAATCCTGTGGCATCTCAGCAGCTGTGCAGCCTCCAGAAATGCTGCGGGAGATTTGGGGTTTGGTCCTGACCTCTCTCTCCTCCCTCTTTTCCATTTTCTTTGAAGCATACTGTTGTGAGATTTTCCAGACCAAACCCATGACTTTCTTATCTTTCTTATCACCGTAATGTTCTATTAATAACTAATACATAAGAAAGTACTAGCTTCTATAAACATGTTTTTGCCTTTTGTATGAGCAACAGGTGCTTATGGCTTATATATCACTTTGGAAATCTTGCAACAGAACAGCAGCTGGCAGTTAACTTGCTAAATGTCATTTTATAAACTTTTTTCTTGTTTTCCCATCTTTTCCTTCTCCCCATGCTTTAATCTTCTTACAAAACTCAGAAATTTCCTGCTATCCAAGGAAGATTATTGCTTTACATTTGAACACCTGTTTGCTTTATACTAAGCCTTTGCACTGCAAACAACTAGTTTAAAACCCATCCTTCAGAGATGACCCTAGGTTGTATGGTTCTGTTAATTATAGGAGCTGGTTGCGTAGTTTCAGTGTTCTCTGCCTATCACAAACTTACAGACATTTCAAAATCAAGCAAACGTGAACGAAGTGATACCCCTGGCTGCTGCTGCTCTCAAGCGCATGTTTTTTTTTTTTTTTTAAGGTGTGGGACAACTCCTACTTCCTGACAGCTTTTGATTGGCTTTCCAAAGAGGCAGTGTCCTATAAATTGCCATCCCCACTCTGCTCTATCACCACCTGAGGGACAGGTGAGTACAGAACAGGAAAAATTTTAGCGTGTATTGCTTAATCCTTGAAATCAGCGTTGGTTGTTAATTTAAATTAGTGGGGTGGAAAAAATAACTTCCAAGTTTCAGGATAAAAATTCCTCATGTTACTTGATCTAGAACAAAGGAAAGAGCTAGTTTCTAATATTGGTTTGGGTTGATTAGTAAACCCAGTGACTGAGGAACTAGTCAGAAGTTTGGGGGGGGGGGGGGGGAGATTTGAGAAAATATATATATAAAAATAATTTTTGTTTATTTCCAGTTCCTAATTGTACAAAGTATTCCTCTTTGGGATAGTAAGAAACAGCAATCTATCAAAAAATTTAAGGTGTTTTACATCAGTTAAATGAGTACTTCTTGCGTTCTGAGCTGTTAACGACTCCTTGAAATTATTTAAAATGGAGAGCTCTGATCGAGCAGAATGGGCTTCTCTGTCCAAGTTGTTTGGGCTGCCTGTATTTCATGGTTGTTCTGGGGAAGTGTTTTTAAGGTGTGCTATGAATTTCTTTATATATTTGTGCATTTGTTGGCAACTTTAGTATTTAATAGCTCGTGACACCATTTTTCTCCCCCTTCGTATCTGAAATAGAAATAAAAGTATGTAATAGGTGGGATTTTTGCATGCAGTTGTGCTGCTTGGTGAGCCGGGGGTTTTTCAGTGTCTGGTATAAAATGTGTTTACTCTTCTCTTGACTCAGCCTAGACTTGCAAGTAAATTCTCAGCTTAAGCCTGTGTGGTTTCACTGCAGGTGTGTTTGGAGAAACCAGTCCTGTAGGTGGGAAACCAATTTGATCCTAGCATGGCATTTTCAGTCGCAACTAATTTTAGTTTGTACTTTGTTCATGGAGCTCAAAATGACTCGTTGGGTCCTTTAAGGGGAAATTTTCTGCAACAGAGACTAGTGAGTCTCCCTTAGTGCTGTAAGAGTTGTTAATTATTCCATTCTGAATCAAGAAGGGGTCATCATGGCTCTTTAAAGGGCCAGCACTGCCCTTTAACACTCTTACATTGGTTTCCTAGGGAGAAATATGTCTTATGAGGTTGAATTGTCTGGATATGTCTGCCTGTTGCCTACTTCCCTTGCACACCTAACGGTTTTTGTACCTAGTGGCTAGTTTCAAGTAAGCTAGAGAGGGAGTGAGTCTCAAAAATAGCAAGAACATGTCTGTCTTGTGAAGGTGAGCTTGCAGGGGAGGGAAATCTCATTAGTGCCTTGACTGAGCATCAGAGAATGGTTGTGATTGGAGAGACCTGGAGGCCATCTGTCCAAGCCCCTGCTCAAGCAGGGCCACTGAGAGCCAGTTGCTGAGGACCATGTCAGGATGGCTGTTGAAGATCTCCAAGGGTGGAAACTCCATCACCTCTCTGGGCAACCTGTGCCAGAGCTCAGTCACCTTCATGGCAGAAAAGTGTTTCCTGATGTTCCAGGGGAACCTCCTGTGTTTCTGTGTGTGCCCGTGGCCTCTGGTCCTGGCACTGGGCACCACTGGAAAGAGCCTAGCTCTTCTTTGTGCCCTCCCTTCAGGTATTTATATACATTGATTATATCCCCTCCTTGAGCCTTCTCTTCTCCAGGTAAAACAGTCCCACCTCCCTCAGCCTTTCCTCATAGGAGGGATGCTCCAGTCCCTTCATCATCTTCGTGGCCCATCAGCAATATAAGCTGAATTGTACTAATTGACACTAGAGAATCAAGATAGGAGAAAGATGTTATAACCTCTTAGATAGCAGTTAGTTACCTCTGAGATTGGGTCCTCAGGAAATGGGGCTTCTTCACTTTCAGTGCTCAAGGAATGGTTTGTTTACTTGAGTTTTGTAGGTGGAGTTAGATGGGGGTTTATAGGGTTGGTATATAGCGAGGAGTTGCAAGAGACTTGTGCGAAGCCTTGGGAAGATGGCATGATTGCTTCTGTAGCACGGACAGGAGAGATGCAGCTGTAACAGATCAAGCCTGTAATCAGGGAGACTGATGCCTCTAATGGGTTTGTGGCTGTGAGGTGCAGCAGAGGCCTGGCTAATTCATCAGGATACTAATTGACCATGCTCCTCAAGGCAATAAACAAGTCTAAGGCAGGGAGGACAATGCATCTCAGAATAAATCTCTTTGACTGGTTTAAATATGCAAATGTGCTTTTTAATAATGCAGTTTTTTTAGGGGGGGGTATCTTATTAAGCATGTGATAGGTAGTTTAGCAAGTCTTCTGTATTTAAATAGCAAGAGCCTCTAAAGTGCCAGAAAATTCTCAGCCTTGTGTGTTGCTGTAAGTGAAAGGACCACCCACATTAATTACTCGGTTGCTTTTCTATACATACTAGAATTGGTAGTGCTGGAATTCATCTGCAGCAATTAGTTGCCTTAATTTCTTCTTGTGGCCTTTTTTCTCCCCAACTTTCCTTTTTATAATATATACCACAAGAACTCATCTGAGAAAGGAATCGACAGGGTAATCTCAAGCAAACTAGTTTGAAATATATTTTCTTTTGGGGATTTACTTATTCTAGCATTTCGGAAAAGAGAGTTAAAAGTTATTAGAAGGGAGATAAGGAAGAATTTAAGTGATCGTGCCTTAAGAATTGTATTTGAAAGAAGTAAACTGGAACCTCAGAAAAGACCAGTTGTGGGTGTATGTGCAATTTACTTGGGGTACATTCTTCTCCCTTTCCTTCCCCAATATGAAAGATTTGGAGAGAAAGAAAACCAAACTTGCTCGGGGGGATATTTTTGTAATGTATTATGAGCAAATGATATCCTTTTTTCTTGTGAAATGATTGGGACATTTTCATGAGTACTGGGTAAATACTATTTCTCCTTTGTTTGCTCCCTGGGTACTGTCTATCATGCGTGTTAGATCTGAGCAAAGCAGTCCCCTTTAAAGAGATTTACTGCTGCCTCTGGTGGCTTAGCTGAATCTTGCTGATGCAATACTGAGAAGGCTTGCTTATTCACGGCAGTCTACAAAACTTTCTCTCAAAAGTACCTACAGTGAAGCTGTGTAATCATAGCAGCTGAACTTGTTGAATTCTGTATTTGTTGTCTTTTGCGCTTGAAATCGTGGTTTCTAGTGACGGTTTTAAAAAGTCTTAAACTTGAGCTATATTCTCACAGTTCATTATACTGAAGTCTGTGCTGGGGCTGTGGATGTTTTCCAGAGCTCACTCTGGTGAATACATTACCTCTGTTCGAGTTAGTTGACAGGCTCCTCCTGCTAGATGTGGCTTTCAGTTGTCATTTAGGACTTGGATTGCATCATGCTTCTCAGCAACCCTCCAGAGTTTTCCAAGGAAGTGTTTAAAACGTTCCATACGGTTGAGTCATTTGTGACTAATCTTTTCTCTTCTCCTCACAGCCTATTTGAAGGAAGAAGATGCCAATTGTCAAAAACGTGAGCAGAGCTGTCAGCCAGCTGCTCCAGAGCTCTGGTTGTGGATGTGGGATTTCTGTCGTGCCCGTTCGCTGCATTGGAGTCTCACCCCGCCAGGTGGCCTCTGATGCCAGCTTTCACTCAGTTTCTTTCTCTGCATCTGATCATCCTCGGGTGCTAATTACAGGTCAGCATTCTTCTCATAACTCTATTCCCTCTCCAGCTTCTCAGTCGAGTCCCCCACTTCCCCCCTCCTTCCCTGGTGAGCAGAATACTGGAAGCAAAAATACTCAAAATATTCTGGAATTGTGATGATCTTTCCCATATGGTGTTAAGATTGGAGTCCCATGTGAACTTGCTTACTATTTTTATCCCAGAAGTCTACTAAAACCTGTTCATTGGGTTTTCCTTGAGAAAAATATAAAAGCTTTCTGACTTGCCGAGAGAAATAGTACTAATTTCTGATGTGATGCATATGATGATGGAACTCCGTGTTTTGATATCACTTTTTCTCTGATTTTTCTCTTGTGTGCTGCCTTTTAGGTGGTCTTGGCCAGCTTGGAGTGGGACTTGCTAAGCTTCTGAGGTATGTCATGATTCTCTGACTTGCTGTTAGTGAGGAATTCAAGCTTCAGCCATCACTTCTAGAAGCAATAAGTTTCTGCAAAGTTGTTTATAGAAAAATCCTAGTGACGCCTGCAGATTCTTTTTTGCCTCTTAGTTTTGTAAATATCTTTAAATTTTCACCGTATTTTTATTTTTTTACTCCTGTGCTTGGTTTAGGTTCACTGATGTACTTTGTCTGTACATTGGTTACAATTCCCAAAATAACATAACTTTGTCTAAGAGACTGGCTTCTGAGTTCAGCTTGCTTCCAGTTAAATGGAACGATTGAGAATCTGTATCCTTAGAGGGTGGTCAGTTTTCTTTTCCTCTTTTTTGGTCTAGCCAAATAAGGCTGAATTTGAGTGCTCCATAGAGACCCAAAGGCTGTGATTTTTATGCAGGTACTACAGGAGGAAAACAAGTACAAACATCTACTTGAAGAAATACATAGTCCTTTGTTAATTATCCAGCTGTTGGGCTTTGCAACTGCTGACTTTTATCTCTCTGAGAATTTCGGTTAAGTAACTTCAGGAGTAAGCTGCCCTATTTAGTAAAGTACAAACAAAAATGAAGATTAGGATACAAAATCTTGAAGTTTTTATGATTTGGTGAAAGATGAACTGATGCAGCAGAAGGAGTAAATGGAAAATGGGTTTCTTCTGGCTCTTTCTGTTCCCCAGCCTCACATACACATTTACCTTACTTCTTCCATGGTGTCTTTTAAAGAAATGTAAAATGCTGCAAGAGCTCTCTCTGGTCCATATCGTTGTCTGTATCCACGCCTGCTCAGCTCCAGAGTAGCATTTGCACACAGACAGTGTTTGTTGGAGAGAATTTGGACCATGACCAAAAGTGAGCAACACTGTGTTGCAGTTTGAATGTTTTCTACCAGTTTTATGATATATTTTAAAATCATCCAAATAATGGAAGGCTGGAATGTACTCCAATGCCATCAGACTCGCTCTCTGCGATAGCGTTGTGCAGATTAGAAGAGCACAAGGCAGAGATTACTCAGTTGTATTTATTTTGTTGATATAAAAGTAGCTGCAGTTACAGCATGCCCAGTGGCTTTTTGTTGCCTGCAGGGGAGTAGATTATCTCTGGGTAAGATTCTCAAAAAGAAGAGGGTAAGAAGGTCTTTCTTCTCAACATACTTTTGTTTTCTAAAAGGTTTGTCTGTCCTTATGCAGTTTTTCACTGCTACTAGAAGTAGGATTGGTGGGGCTTTTTTAGTGTAATAACTGGTTTTATTGTGGAAATTATTGCTCTAATATTGCTTCAGCAAAACAAAATAGCAACATAGCAACTCATGAACTATCTCGAACACTCTCGATGAACTCACTGTACCATGTGGGTATTTTTACACAGGAAACGCTTTGGAAAGAACAATGTGATCTTGTCTGACATTAGAAAACCTGCGGATAATGTTTTCTATAGTGGTAAGTGACTGGAGAAGCATATGGAAAAAAAAAAAATCTTAACTCTACCTCTGATGTTGATAGACTAATTACCAAAGTCTAAATGACAAGTGGATTAAACTGAACAAGCTGCTGTTCGAAACTTCTGGATAATGCCTTCCTGCTTTGAAGTCTTGCCAAGGCATTGACTACTTCTGTCTATTACTCCCTTTTTCTAAACATTTTTCTTTGCATTTTTTCACTGTTGCTTTGCCACTTTGACCAGAATAACTACTCGAATCCAGTTGAGCTTGGCTGTTGTGCTCCTGCTGTATAGAGAGATGCATTTATTCTTTTGGAGGGAACAAGTTGGAAATTAAATTTGTGCTTTCTTTTTCCATGCTCAGGCAACTTGTCTGAGATGAATGTAGAGTAGGATTTTTGGCTTCTTTTCTTTAGAGACTTGCACAAGTTTTTTTTTTCTTTGTCATTACTATTTAATGATGCTTTTAGGGATTTGAATAGCATACACTAGCTGTTCCCTGCTTTCATGCTGTTGACTGGATAAAACAGGGGTTCTTGGATCAGTCTGTTGTTGAGGTAAAGGTAACAGTTTATCTTAATTTCTCTGGCTTATTTACTGGTTTATTGACCACTGCTGTTAGGTGTGCATTCTGCTGTGCAGTCAAATCCTGCACAGAGGTACGATCAAGGAGCAGCAATTTGAGTTTCATGTAGAACTTTTCTTTACATCCGCTCTTCTTGGGATTCAATTTCCTACTGGTTCCATTTCTTCTAGGTCCTTTTATATACGCAGATATCTTGGACTACAAGAATTTACGTGAGATAGTGGTGAATAATCGGATAACTTGGCTGTTCCACTATAGTGCTTTGCTGAGTGCTGTTGGAGAAGCAAACGTGCCTTTGGCCAGAGCTGTAAATATTACCGGTATGTGACAAGGGTTTTGAGTTCATGACTCGTGCAGAGGCTTGAGAAAGTGCAATGTATGTTCTGACAAATGCTGTTGTTTGTTCCAGGTTTACACAATGTTCTGGATATTGCAGCTGAGCATAATTTGAGACTCTTTGTTCCAAGCACTATCGGAGCTTTTGGACCCACCTCTCCTCGAGATCCAACTCCTGATCTCTGCATTCAGAGACCAAGGACAATCTATGGAGTCTCCAAGGTTCACGCTGAGCTCATGGGAGAAGTGAGAATTTCTTATTTTATTTATTCCATTAAAGTTCTGTGAGAACTTCATTACTTTTGTAAGATTCTTCACTGCAGTGTTCTTTTCCCATTCTGTCCTTCCTGCAGGATTTAGTACTCAATAGTAGTCTGAGGCAGCTCTTTAGGACAAATATTTTTTGAGTAGGAAAAAGTACAAAGAATTGGAAACTGGCACACATCTAACTTTCAGTATCGTTTCTTTCCCTTGTTCTTTTGACTTTGGCCTCTTTGCCTCATCTGCCAATATGAATGGCATTGCATAAATGACAGTGTACAAAGCCTTGCGAAAGCATGGTAGACAAGGATGACTTTGGCCCCTCCCAGCCCTCTCCCCACATTCCCCCCCAAAAAAGGACTGTAAAGTCAAAGCTGTGGGAGTCTGTACACGCTCAACTTCTCTTGGCTTTGTAGTTCTTTATAAACTAATCGTTAAAGCTGATATTTTTACATACTGGTTCCTCACTTGAAATTTATGACAGACAGTGGCAGGTCTGAAGACTGTATTAACTTGAAATGTCTCACAAACTTTGGAATCTTCAGTTTCTGGACACTAGGTCTAGACCCTACATTACAAGCCAATCCATATCACGAATCTGTCTCTACTGATGTGGGTGTAAACTAGAAAAGGGCAAGCGGGGAGATCAGCTACCTGGTGGGGAATAGAGACTGTTTAGTAGTTCCTGTTCTTTCATCCCTGTCACGGGATGGCTACAGAGCTGAAGATTCATCCCGTGGCAGATTTTCTTCTGTGAAATCAGTTGTGTGGTGTAGTCTTGATGTGTAAAGCTACATTTCTCTCTTCCCTCTGTAGTACTACCATTACCGGTACGGCCTCGACTTTCGCTGCCTGAGGTATCCAGGAATTATATCTGCTGACTCCCAGCCTGGTGGGGGAACAACTGGTGAGTGACTTGTGTGTAGTTCTCGGTATTGCAGGCGAGAACAGCAAAAACATAAGCCAATACAGTAATTTCCAATGTGTCTGTAGAAATTTAATCTGTGGCAGTATAGAGCATGACTATAGAGATGCTGTTTCAACAGTGTTGTAACAGTTTTTGGCCACTCCAGCCTAGGGCATAATTTCGTAGATACTTTTTAAAGGCAAAGACTGAGAGATTTTTGGATGAATTACACTCATTGAGACCATTTCCTTTAAAATATTTTGAGCTCTGCTGTATTGCTGCAATATCCAAATGCTAGAATAGCATTGAGATAGTTCAGAACGACTTATACTTCTCCTGTACAACGTAAATAATACATGGCTCTGCTGCTAGATTTTAGACAGGAGGCTTTGGGGGTGGTCTGTGGTTTGCTGACTGTCGTGAAGGGAACAACAGGTTGAGGCAGATGAGTACACACACCCATTGTTCTTTTCCACAGATTATGCTGTCCAGATTTTCCACGACGCCATAAAGAACGGCAAATTCCAGTGCAACCTAAAGCCAGACACTCGTCTCCCTATGATGTATATTGATGACTGTCTGAAAGCGACTCTAGAGGTCATGGAGGCCCCTGCAGAGGCACTGAGCATGAGGACGTACAACATCAGTGCCATGAGCTTCACTCCTGAAGAGCTGGCACAAGAGGTGCAGAAGCACGTTCCTGAGCTCCAAGTGACCTACAATGTGGATGAAGTCAGGCAGGCCATAGGTTAGTATCGGCTTTTTTGGCAGTGGGTGAGAAAAAGCATTAAATTGCTATACATTAAAGGCAAAAGAAAGTTTCTTTTCTTTTTAGACACTTGTAAATTGCTCCTGTACAATTCAAGTCTGACCGCTTGAAACTCAGCTTTAGTAGTTCAAATGGCCAGCAGTGATATGTCTTGAAGTTTTAAAGAAGTTTTTCTTAAACCTCATGCTAGTTTTTTCTTCTCTCTTTTCCCTATAGCTGACAGCTGGCCAATGAACTTTGATGACAGGAACGCCCGGAGGGATTGGGGTTGGAAACATGATTATGATCTCCCTGAGTTGGTGACTACGATGTTTAGCTTCCTTGGGTCTGACTCCAGGATTGCTCAAGCAAACTGAAATACTTCATAAGATGTTTCCAGATTTCCACAGAGGACCAGGAAGAAATGGCTAAATTAGTTTATGATTTTCTGAGTCTTAGAGCATGTCAGTTATTAATTTTCATAAGTAGCAATAGAGTTGGGCAGAAACATACTGTAGCTGGAACATACTGCAAGATAAACAACATCATTTGGTGCTGTCTCTAAGCACAGCACCAATGACAAACACAGAATTCTTGAACTTTCACACTTAAGCAGCTAGAAAAAAAAAAAAAAAAGAAAAAAGGCACTTACTCCTGGCTGATGACTCTCCAATCATTCCTGCTGCCTGCCTCTTCTTTGGCAAACAACGTGGGACAGTATTGTCAAACCTGGCGTTTTGGGCGTATCCCACGAAGTTAACGACAGGGTTTTCATTTTCCTGGTGGAGGATGTTAGATAGTAGTAAGATATCCTTTCTACTCTTTGCTTACAAAAGAGAGATCAGAAGAGCTACTTCATGTTTCCAAATTGCAGGGGTCGTTGCAATTGTAGTTTGAAATCAAACTTTGGTTGATAGTTCCTATTTATGTATATATATGTATAGCTGTATAAACATACACTTTTCTATACATATGGCATACAAAGTAGCGTTATTCTTATAATGCTTGTAAATGTGAAGGGGAATAGGACTTGAATTCTCATTGTGCTTTAAAAAAACAGGGTTTACAAGCTAAGCTTTGTCCTGTTCTTTGAAAGTGCTGCTGCCTTCAGTTCAATCTCAGAGGCAGACCTGAAATCTGAAGAGCTGTTACGTGTATGTGAATCTGGGGTGTAATTCAAGAAGGCAGTGCCCAGGTATGGGTTTATGGTTAATTAGCACTACTTTTGGTTGTTACCCAGTTGTTTGCCGTGCTAGCACAGTGACGTACTGCCTGGAGCAAGTGTTCAAGGTGGGCTGATGATGGAGCCTTACGGCAGAGTCAAGTCAGCCTTTGAAATCTGTTCATGTTCACTACATTTTCCACGTGCACTGGAAGTGTATTTGTAGATGCTATTTATGTCTAACTGTCATACGCTTTTATTCTATAGAGAGGGATCCAGAAGCTGAAGCCATCTTCTAGCTACAGTTAAGGGCTGTTCTGCACATTGAGTTTCGTGCACGAGAGATTCTGGGATTAACAAGGAAGTCTTAATAGATGCATGCAAGGAAGATACGTCTATTCAAAAGCTACTTAGGAGACTTTGAGAAATGACAAACTGGAGAGACAGGAAAGCCATTTTAGGTAAAATACCAGTTTCTGTGGATGTGAATCTGAGCCATCAGCTACTGTAGGTGTAGCTTGCCTTGAGAAACAGCATCTGGGAACTTTTGATTTTATTTTTTTTCAAAGAAAAAATATCTTTCATTTTCAAAATGACTGGAAATTCCCTATATGAATCTCTCCCTCTTTTTAGCCTTGTATACTCTTAATGTAGGAAAACACATTCAAGTATTTTTTTTTTTTTTTTTTGCCTACAACCTGTTTGCTGTGTTTTCTGTGACCATGCTTTGGTAGTTGCGAGTCTGTTACGCTCTCTGTAACCCTGCAGTGTTCCCTCACTAAGTGGTTAACTGACATGACCAGATTTCTGTCTCTTTGTGAAAGAGTCTACATGCTGCAGGGAGTATGTTTTCTCATGAAAGTAACGTTCAAATGAAGATTCTGTGGTGAAACCCAGTTATTTTAAACATTTGTTAAACTTGTATCTCTTGTTTTTTTATGTCTTACTGTTTCATCTCTTGGCAAAGTTATGTGTTTCCCAAGTATTTAAGCTCAAAAACCTCTAAGGTTGTGGCCTCTTATTGAAACTTTTTTTTTTTTTTATATTGTTTACGTTTCTGAAAATACAAGTTTTTAAACTTTGGCCGCTGTTGTAACTATCACATTGTTCAAGTGTAATATTTGGCCCAATGGGCCAGCAAAGTTGGCCCTCTGTTCGCACCTTACAAGGAAAAACTGGCTCAGGTTTTGTCCTCTGCCCTGCCAAAACAGGATTATCTCCTAGTAAACTGTCACACTGTGTCATCGTCTGAAGGGCTTTGGTATGAAAGACTGGAATGAACAAGACACTTCCTCTCGTATTTCAGACCCTGGGGCCTCCTCATTGCATCTGTTGCACGAGGCATGTGAAATAGTTGTTGAGAGGTCTCACTCCGTTTCTTTACTTCACCCAAAGTCATGGGGTTTACTCCCCTCACCCTTGCTCAGAGCTCCAGTTAACACCAGCAAGAGTGAAGAGTGAGAATGTTCTTCTGAAACGCACTGTCCTTGGCTGTGGCATTGCATAAAAGCTTTGCATAAGATGTTACAGTGAAGGTGAAATTCAAACCTATGCTATTTTGTTCAAAAGTTTGGGTTTTTTGTTTTTGTTTTTTTTTTTTCCCTCCTGTCAAAAGTAGCTGACATGTTTTAGGAGCAGCCATTTAAGAAACTTCTATTTTTCAAAATCTAAAATAAACCATATTTCAGTAAAGAGTCGTTTGGAGGTAACAGTGTGGTGATTATCAGGGAGTGTGATTCGATGTGTCGACAAGGTCTGAGTCCTGTTTGAAATTCTGCTTTTCAACCTGTGACCAATGATGCATGTCTTTTTTTTTTTTTTTTTTTCCATGTCTTCCCCATTAACTTCTTTTGTAACTATGTTACAGTATTTTCTGTATTAAGCCAATTTGATGTGGTACAAAACATCTAACTTTTGCTACTAGCCTGAAGTTTGACTTCTGGGTAAAGACTTCTCTCATGACATTTGAGCATTGTAGCTGTTACAGTACCTATTCAGGAAAACAAAAAAAAAGTTGTTAAGAATATTTTTTCAAATATTTCAAGTTGTGGATGATACCTCCTTTAATAAAATCCTATGCAGATGTATCCTTGTTTTGTCATCCTTGTGTAGGGCGTGCACGAGCAGGGATGGAGGATGCCAGTTAGTGCCGAAGCCTTTTCTTCAGCCACAGAAGTGGTGCAGGACTTGAGGCACAGAGAAGGGTACGGTCCCTGCAGGGACTCTCAAATATCTGTGCATGTGTTTAACTTCCTGCTGGCTGTTCCAGAGCCACCAGGGAGGTGCATGGGTTGTGCCTGTAGATGGCAGCCACCCAAAAAAGTGCTGGGTTTCCAATATTCCTCTGTCACTTCTAGATTTCTTAGCCCTTTCGCATGTGGAGAAGCCAGTCTCCAGCCACGTTTCTGACTTCCCTTATACCTGAGTGGCTCTGAAAGGAGCAAGGATGGGCCGAGGGAGGAGCTTTAAAAAGACACGTGCCAGGAATTGAAGATTGTAGGGTCCTTGTCTCTGCTGCTGTGCAGACCTTGACTCCAGCCCTTGCACAACCCCTAGAGTTGCTCCTCAGGAGTTTGTGCAGACACGAGTGAGAACCAGTGTGTTCCTCACAATTTACCGTGGACCCACCCTGCCTCCATGCTTCGTGAACACACGCTGCCTTCAGGTTAAACAAGGCCTTTCCCTCCTCCTACTCCCCGACTTTCTAATGATGAGAACTTCTTGTGGAGGAAGCGTTCCACTTCACCACAGTTGAATGACTAATGCAGGCATTATGTTTCTTGCAGAACAGGGGAGGGTGGCACAGTGCTGTGCTCTTTCCAGCTAGTTCACTATGATAATTAGTTTGACTCTTGTTTACACATGCTCAGTCTGGCTTCTGTAAGTGCTATAGATGACAGTGCTTTATCCAAAGCTGCTGTAGCTGAGGAGAGCATTGCCATTACCCTTCAGGCCCTGCAGAAACAACTACTGCGTTTTTCTTCTTTTCCCTCCACCCTGTTCTTCATAGACTTTAAGAATAATAACCCTGTAATAGAATCACAGGATGGTTTGGGTTGGAAGGGGCCTTAAAGATCATCCAGTCCCAACCCCCCTGCCCTGGGCAGGGCCCCCTTCCCCCAGCCCAGGGGGCTCCCAGCCCCGTCCAACCTGGCCTTGAACCCTTCCAGGGAGGGGGCAGCCACAGCTGCTCTGGGCACCCTGGGCCAGCGCCTCACCCCCCGTACAGGGAAGAATTTCTGCCTTAGATCTCATCTAAATCTGCCCTCTGGCAGTTTAAAACCATTACCCCTCGTACCAGTAACAGTACCTCAGCCCCCTTTAAGCCCTGGGAGGCCGCTCGAAGGGCTCCCCGGAGCCTTCTCTTCTCCAGGCTGAACCCCCCCAACTCTCTCAGCCCTGCCCCCCAGGGGAGCTGCTCCAGCCCCCCCAGCATCTCCGTGGCCTCCTCTGGCCCCGCTCGAGCAGCTCCGTGTCCTTCTGCTGTTGGGGGCCCCCGAGCTGGCCCCAGCACTGCAGGGGGGTCTCCCCAGAGCGGAGCAGAGGGGGAGAATCCCCTCCCTGGCCCTGCTGCCCCCCCTGCTCTGGCTGCACCCCAGGGCACGGGTGGGTTCTGGGCTGTGGGCACACATTGCTGGCTTATAGTTTTCCATCTGCTAATACCCCCAAGTCCCTCTCCTTGGGGCTGCTCTCCAGCCACTCCTTGCCCAGCCTGGATTTGTGCTTGGGATTGCCCTGACCCATGGGCAGGACCTTGCACTTGGCCTTGTTGAACTTCATGAGGTTTTCATGGGCCGACATCTCCAGCTTTTCCAGGTCCCTCTGGATGCCATCCCTGCCCTCCCGCGTGTCCCCGCCCCACACAGCTCGGGGTCGTGGGTGAACTTGCTGAGGCTGCATCGATCCCACTGTCCATGGCACCAACAAAGATGTTAAACAGCGCCGGGACCAACACCCACCCCTGAGGAGCACCACTCAGGCAGCATAAACAAAAGCCTCCTAAGGTTTTTGCTTTTAATTCTCGCATTTACTTTTCCTCCTTGCTCGTTTGCCTTGAAGTCGGCGACTGGCTTCCCTGTCCTCACTTTGCTGTTCCCGTGTAAGAGGGAACGCACAGAGCTGGAGCAGTGCTCACCCCGTGGTGATTGGCGAGCCTCCGCTAAAAAGCTTTAAAGGAAGGAGCTCTGCTCCTTCTCAAGGTGCGAGTGCTGGTGGAGTGTGCTTGTTCAGCTTCCCCCAGGTTTTGATGTCGGTACTGAACTACGTGCCTCTGTACTAATGTGCTATTAATACCCAGACTGCTGACTCTGAAACAGGGCCAGGGGAAAGGGTCTTTCTGTCATGACAAAAGTCACTGCTCAAGCCTGGGATAGAAATGCGAATCCTGCCTGGGTCTGGGTCCTATTGCAATGATTAATTCTTAAGATGTTAAAGTTAATTCCTTTGTTTAAACTCATATGGATGCAGCTGCTTTCCGCTCTTGGCTGCTTAAGATATCAGAGAGAGGTGCAGAAGAGGAGGAACCTTTGTCGCTCAGCAGAACAGCACGAGGGCTGCGGGCGATTAACCTCTGTGCTTTTGGAAAACGCCTCTTTTTCCTCCTCAGGAGGGTGTCAGGCTCTAACACACCATTTGTGGGGAGCTCTGTGTGCCTCCCGGGAAGAGATGTCAAGCCCCGGGGAGGCGGGGGGAGCAGAGCACAGGGTTAGCCAGAGGGCAGGAGGGTGGCTCCGGGGGCTGGGGTGTCCACCTTGCAGCCCCAATTTGTGACACCCCACGTTTCGAGGAGGGTTGGGGGGGGAGGGGAGCTTTCCTGACACCCTCGAGGCGGGTTGTTTCTATTTTAGGCGAACATTAGCAAGCATTTTGAAAATCTTTGCCCTTCTCCTGAAGGCTCGGGCCAGACGAGTGCTCTTCAGGCTATTTTCAGCTTCATACCATAATTGTATGTGATCCGAAATTCGCCGTGGGTCTGCGTGCCCGTGGCACGCCGGGGCTGGGGAGGGGGGTGTGTGTGCAGGTGGGGTGGGCTCGTGTATTCCCCCTGGGTAACAGCATCACAAGAACTGTTGCTGCCCTTCCTGGATGCTTCATTTATATCACACGGGGATGGCTGCCATGCTGCCTACTTCTTCAAGCCAGGGCCAGCTTCTGGAATAAAAACGGGTGTTTAAAGACGACCGTAACTCCATGCAGCAGCTAAGGGAGTCGGCACACACGGCTGGCTTTTGCAAAAGAAGACAGGAAACAAAAGACATTTGTGCTTCAGCAGTGCCACTGTGGAACTCAAATCTGGAGTTGGCATTGCTTGGCCAGAAAAGAAATTTGCTTCCTGCACCTGATACTGCAATCGGGAGCAAATTAGGATGTTTTCCTTCAAGCTGGCAGTGGTTATCTGTGTATTTTTGAGGAATCAAGCCAGCAGTTTGATAAAATTGAGATCCAGTTCAGCCCTGGAGTGGTTGTCCAGTACAACCATCATCCATCCTGACCCAGGGGTAGCTTCTGTGCATTTAGTATCTTCCAGTTGATGTATTTTCTATAAACCTCCGAGGAGCAAACTGAAGCTCCTGAGAAGGTGCAGCACACATGTTACCATTCAGCTTTGAGGGGATTTAATCTTCTTGTCAAAAAATATGAATGGCCGCGTGCCATCTACACACTCCGCTGCCCTCTCCCCCTCTCTCAGATGGCTCCCCACGGCAGAAAAGGTCTAAAGTGCAGGATAATATTCCTTCTGACCTCAAGCAGAGCTCTGATACGCTGCGAAGCAAAGTCCTACAAACCATTCATTATTTCCATTCTGCTGCCTTCTCTCTCTAAATCACGGTCCCACCTCATTTATCTCTCATCCTTCCAACGGAGGTGTGAGATTCTCCAGCCAGTCTGGGGGCCCACCAAGATCTTCCTGGGACCTGTTGCAGTCACTCACTGCTAAGTGTTTTTCTAGCTGAAAGTGCCAATCTTAAAAAAAAAAAAAAAAAAAAGATAAGTGCTGGTTTCAATGGCTTTTCATGTGGAAAATATATAGATCTCCTATAAATGACATTTTTTGAGTGAAGTCAGAAACTTCCTGTATAGAAGTAGAACAGGACGTTCGGTTTTATTTTTCCAGAGCAGTCTTTTATCTTGACGTGTGTTTCACCTCAGAAGATTTCAGACGGTGAGAAATTCCACTCCTTTCCTGATGCAAAAGGCATTTCCCCAGCACAGAAATGCTAAATGCTCTAGCTGCCACATCTTTCCAGGCTGCTTGGGCAGACCTCATCTAAGCACCAAGAAAAGCAGAAATCCCTTACAGATGTCAATGCTTGAAGGTCTTCATATTTCCTTTTTATTATTGTAATCGCTTTGTTCTTTAAATACACAGCAATCCCCACGCCACTGTGCAGACACAGGCTGGAAGGATCTTTCTGGCCCTCGAGTTTTAAAATCTTGCTGTATTAAAAAAAGAGGTGGGTATGGACAGAGGGAAGAGGAAAGGAAAATGGGCTTGGAGGCGTGGTTGGAGGCAGATAGACTTGGATGGTTTGAAGACGTATCCGTACATCTCAGCTCTCCTGAAGGTTTATGTAAAGCTGAATGGAAAAGCACTGCAGAAGGGGTTATTTCTTAGCACAGGTGTAACCTCAGGTTTCTCAGCCAAACTTTCCCGGAGGAGCAAACGGGACCCTTCACCTGAGTTAGCTCCCAGCCTGTGCACTGGTTGTGGATGTCCCTGGATCCACGGCTTTGACTGACAACATTTGCCACTGTCCTGAGGTGGAAAGCAGCTGAGGAATCCAAATCCCTGTCAGCCCGGGAGTGAGGTTTGGGGCAGGAAGGGATTTGGGGCTGGGGAGGAACGGCAGTTTTACCCAGATTACAGCTGATGCCTCTTCTCCTTATGCTACCTGCCAATCCTGTCCCTGGGAATAGGTCAGCGGTTAGCCCAGAGCAAGGACCATACCCAGCAGGCAATTTTAATGCAGTGACCCTGTTTTGGAGGGCAAGCAAGTCCAATATATGTCTACAGCAGGACTGTGCCAGCCAGAGAGGGCCCAGGCTCTGCTCAGGTTAGTCATGCAGTCCCTCTTACAGGTGTCTC